GACACTATGAAAATTGAGAATTGAAAAATACCAAAATTTGAAAGTGTGTTTATTTTTTAGGGTTAATATCACGTAAAACCTCAAACCGGTACACATTTGACAAATTTACTCCAAACTAATTTTTTTTACTAGTAAAAACTCTAAATTGGTATGTCTGTGACAAATTTATCCCGAATTAATTTTTTAATCACAAAAACCCTAAATTTGTACATTTGTTACAAATTTACTCTCCGTTAAATTGGATTAATACCAAGAAAAACTACAAATTGGTAAATTTGTGACAAACGGAGAAGTAAAACCGCAAACTGGTATACCATCAACTGCCACGTGTCATTGAATTCAGCAATTTGACGATAAAATTTAACGAAAACTAATATAAGGTAAATTTATTACAGATGTAAAAGTTTGGGGTTTTTGATAATAAAAAAATTAATTTTTAGTAAATTTATTATAGGTGTATGAGTTTTTATTTTTTTCATGATATTAATTCTTATTTTTATGATTATTTGGAACTTTCCTTGCTTCCTCAGGTGGGATTTTCATAGGTTGGGCCACGACAATAAATGGAAAAGCTGAGTTTTGGATCTGTCACTTGGCTCAGGCTAGAGGAATTATTTTTTGTCTCGGAATCAGTCCTTCATTTGAATTTTCTTCTTCTACTTAATTTTTTTTAGAAAAAATTAGACAAACAATCCCTGAACTTTAGTTCAATGTGCAATGTAATCACTGAACTTTTAATTTATTCAATATGGTCATTGAACTTTAACTTAATGTGCAATGTGGTCATTGAACTTTTAATTTGTTTAATATCATCTATGAATTTTTGGTAAATGTTCAATTTAGTCCCTGAACTATATGAAAATATTCAATATAGTCCTTTTAATAGTTCAACTTCAGGGATTATATTGAACATTTTCATATAGTTTAAGGACGACATTGAGCATATACCAAAAGTTCATTGACCATATTGAACAAATTAAAAGTTCAGCAACCATATTGAACATTTGGCTAAAGTTCAATGACTAAATTAAATAAATTAAAAGTTCAAGGATCACATTGCTCATTGAATGAATGTTCAGGGACTGTTTGTGTCATTATCCCTTTAATTTTTATTGGGGGGGAATTAGGATAAAAATATATTCTCTAGGCTTTGGCTGTTTTTGGGTTTTGGGGCACATGATGCACGGTGGATGGGATTTCCTCATCTTTGAATGTTGCAAACCATGTGTTGCCAATTATTAATTTCCACCAACCTAGTGTCCCCTGTTGTGGAAATATCAACGTGGACGTGTCTAGACTCCGAACCGAAACCCGACCTATTATGGACGTGCGCGTATGCCGCCGTACGTGAGTCCTACATGATCCCCGGGGGTTGGACTCATTTTTGTGTAAGAAATTTCTCATTCTTTGTTTTGTATGCCCTTCTTTATCGGCGATTGCAGAAAGGAACGTGTGTTAATTAGCGTCAATAAATTCAAAGATCGAAATCCACAAAAGAGACAAAAAAGTAGGCAAAATGCTCACATTAGTCTTAATTTGTCAACTTTGGTCGATTCCAGTCCTTATGTCAAGATTTCGGTTGATAAAGCCTCAAACGTCATGTTTTTAATCAGTTTAATCCCGTGGGACTGATCTAGTCACTAATTTGGTATTTCGAGTTTATGTAGATGAGATTTGTGTTTACATGACAACCTTATTGATCAACAGTGTCGGTGTTGATGGGAACCACACCCGTCATGGTTATCTGTTCTAGTTTTGTGTTTTGCTATTATTTACTTTTGACTTCAATTTTTAAAGTTCAAAATCCGACTTTGTTGTCATTAACAAATCGCTTTTTTCAAGGGAAGGGAAAATGGAAGGTGTGTAGAAAATTGGGTGAAAATTAAATATTTTGCACGAAAAAATCAAGAAAAAAGTATTACCCCGTCACTTAATATTATTTCTTTTTCTTGGTTGATACTTCAAATTATTTCTTAATAATGGGTTTTTTTGTTGCCTTGAAGCCACACAAATCACCTTCTAAATAACTCCAAATGGACGAATCTTGTCGAACAACGACTGAATAGACCAATAACAACTTGTCGTACTGATCAAATAAGACATAATATCAACGTAGGGACACAATCAATTTAATTATTTCTTTTTTGCCTCGACATGAACAAAAAAAATAATAGATAAATTTCACCGATAATCACCGACTTTAGCGAATTTTGTAGTCCAGTAGCTCGAATATATCTGGAGTGAATTTTTACATTTTAGTTTTCAAAAAATTTATAATATATGCATTCCAACTTTTTCCAATTGTAAAGTATTTGAAACTTTCGCAAATGAAATTGCCGTAATTTTTCGAATTTTGAGTAATTTTTGGAATTTCGACGGAAAAATGAAAACTTAAACTTTTCAGAAGTCCATCATAATCTTCTTTCCTTTTTTTTTCATTTTTTAGTTGAATTATTAAACCCGTTTGCATTGATCAAATAACACGTTCTGACCCCCAAGGTCGCAAGTCAACAAATTCGGCTTCTATCATTTCTTGTCCCCTCACCATTAGTCGGCCAAAGCGATCGTCGATCCTGAAAAAAAAAAAAAAGAACTGCTTTAACTTTCATTTACTCTGAAAATCTTACAATCTTTTCTTATAATTACTTGAAAGTTTAACTTCTTATGGAAGCATAAGGTGGCATATAACCTAACCATGGAACAATTGACTTTTTTGAAAGATTTTCCTAACTTTTTAGGTCTATATTTCAAGGATACATGGTGCATTTCATATTGTGGATCAAAAAGAAGGACGGTCGAAATTCTAAAACCATCTTATGATGCATACATTTATGATCTAAATTTTGAGCGTTTGTTTAAGTGGTAAGTTTTTTTCAAAAAAAGACTCGATTAAGTGATTTCAACGAGTTATCTCACCGTCAAATTTTTTTTAGGCCTTTTTAAGTAATGTCTTCACCTTGGATGGGAAGATAAAAGACAAGGGTTGAAAGGAAACATAGCTTTGTTCCTGTATTTAATTGGGTTAATACCACCGAAAAACTCAAACTAGTAAATTTGTAATAAATTTACCTCAAACTAATTTTTGAGTGATCAAAAACACTAAATCGATACATTCGCGACATGTTTACCATTTGTTAGCTTCCATCAAATTTTATTGTGAAATTACTGAGCTGAATGACATGTGGCAATGACTCAATTGACATGGCAAGTTCACGTGGAAATCCATATCAGTTTTGGGTAAAATTGTCATAGGTATACCGGTTTGAGATTTTGATGACTCAAAAATTAGTTTGGAGTGAAATTGTCACAAATGTATCAGTTTTGGCTTTTGGTAGCCCAAAAATTAATTTGAGGTAAATTTGTCACATATATACCTATTTAAATTTTTTGGTGATATTAACCCGTATTTAATCCCAATGGACGTCCCTAGGCATCTGTTTGGTATGCGGTTTTACTCTTTATTAATGTTGTGACATTCACCGTATGACTTCAATTTAAGCTCGTATATATGAAACTTTACAAATTTTAATACAATGTCATGTAAATGCACTTGATATTCTTTCGTAACTTTTATATACTAACAATTGTTTTTCTTCAAATTTACAGATTTTGGAGGGAAAATAGATAGCGAGTGACTAGTAATGGACTAGGTCGTGCCATACCTGATCTAGTTTGGATCGGGAAGCTTGTATTTGGCATGGTCTTCTCTATATGCTACGTTAATGCATCTACCAATCTCATTCTTTGTCCTACGCATAACAATCACGTAAGGTTCTTTCATTTCCATAGTTTATTTTGTGCCGGCGTATCACTGAATTTTCAAGAGAAAAGGCTCCATTGATTAGTTTCGACGCATATTGTTGCACGTTGTGAAAATATATCGAACTAAGTAAAAAGATATAAATCGAAAAAATTATATGGATTATACCTTCATCGAGCAAAGTATTTTTCGTTCACTTTTTCTTCATTTGAATTTCTCCACCGTCCGAAACCGTCTCATGAGAAATAATGAGATCAGTTGAGCATAGTTGAACTCGTGAGCTTCAATAATTATAGTGCATGAAATGATGAGATGTCGTATCATGTGAGATCAATCGAGCGCTCCGACAGTTTTGGTATCTCATTTGTAGTAGGGTCGAAAATGTTTCGGATGTTTTTGGGAAAGCTTCTATTATCCCTCATTGCCTTTAGAATTAAGCTGTGCAGGTCAGTCGCTAAATCAACTCTATTACATCATAATAATGTTAACAGTCAATTACTCAATGATATCATAACGCACGGTATTATGAAAGTCCTTCCGGTTCGAGATGCTTTTTATATCTTGGGGAAAAGTTCTTTTGGGGTTTTCAGCCATTGGATCACCAAAAATTTATGGTCGAGATTTGTTTGAAACGAAAAAACACAAAAAAGGTATTTACATGACATACACGTTAAATTAAAATCACGACACGTTATAATTGAAATGTCACGGCTGGTAACACTGGACATAACCTATTCACACGACATTAATATGATATGAGATGAAAATACAAATTGCACCGAGAAAATTCGAATGTGACGGTACATAATACGTCTAACTTTATATGTTACATAATATTAACTTGATTTTATCGTAGTTTAATTATTGATAATGCAACATGTTGAGCATACCTTTCGAGTAGACTTTTACGGTTTTCTTTGGGTATTAATCTAGGCCGGAAAATGCTTCAGCCCTTGTAAACTCGTTATTCTCCGTATTCACAGTGATATCTTGGACGGCCAACTCTCCCGTTGGGTAGGTACCAGATCATGCCACGTAAATCTCTAATGTTCTTATCGTACATCGTTTATTTTTCCCAAGAATTCCTTCCTTTCGTACCAGAATTGAATTGCAAGACCCGTTAACTCCCCGTGTCATGATACTTCAGATCCATACAAGTCGTGAACATAATTATGACACGTGAACACGAATTGCCATCTATTTCTCTCTCCGCGTTTGCCGTCATATAAGATGACACTCCAAGAGAGAGAGAGAGAGAAGCGCAAGCACCTCCCTCTCCGAGCCCCGAAGCTTCCCATTCGCACGCTCGCCTCCCTCTACAACTCTCTCTCTCTCTTCGCCGTGCAATGCGGTGACGAGGGCGGCGGGATGGAAGCTTCACGGTGGTCGGACGGGTGGTCGCCGACGGGAGCTCCGGCGACCTTGCAGAGAGAGGACCACTGGCGGCACTTCGACAATTCGGTCAACGCCGTGTCGTTCGGGTTCGTCGCCACCGCCATCCTCATCTCCATGTTCCTGGTCATGGCCATCTTCGAGCGTTTCCTCCGGACCACCTCGCAGGAGTTCTCCGCCGCCGGCGAACGGCGGCACCGCGGCGGCGGCGGCGGCGGCGACCTCGAGTCCCAGATGGGGTTCAATCCAAAGCTCAATTACCCTTCCCCGAAGGTAAAGTTTCAAACTTCAAGCGCAGTCGTTTTTCTTGAACTTCCATTGTTACTGTTCTCCATTTTTCTGGGCTCTTGTTTTTGGGATCGGTGCTTTTCAAGCTGATTTATGTTCTGGGTAATGTTTCAACTGCAAATTTCAGCAGAAAACATAGCGCATTCTGCTCTACTGGGTTCGCATTCTGAGAGATTTTCTCTTGCAAAGTGTCTTCTTTTTCCTGTTCATCTCTCGGACATAAGTTTTCTTGATAACCAATCGGGAAATCAGGTGTTTCTGAGGATGTTGGGAGCGGATCCCAGCCATGGGTGGGAGATGGCATTTGCTATGGGCCTGATTTGCTTTTGGTTTGGGATCATTTTTCTGACAAATTTTTGGATGTTATTTGCTTTCCCCTTTTCCTTTTTGTTCGCTGCCCAGAGCTTTCATTACTGGCCTGACAAAGTGTTGATGCAAAGGCTCTCTCTCTCTCTCTCTCTCTCTCCCTCTTTCTACATGATACTGTGGTTTTTGTTTTCCCTGGTGAACTTGGTTTTTACCCTTCGCCTCCTTTTTTCTGTTTTCTGTCCTGTCCTTTTGTTCTTTTACGCTAGTCAACTGGATGATGTTGGTGTCAACAGTGAACCCTTGCGATTCATTGCCCGTGAATAAAAGTTATCTACAGACTTACAGTTGACGCTGCTTTGCACCCTGGCTGTCATGATTCCTCTTGTCTATCCCAGTTACTTGAAAATCACTTGGGTGATGCCCACGTTGTATGAAGAACTTCTGTGCTCAGGCTGCCCCAAATAGCTTGAGTGAATACTCACTATCTTGGTCACTTAGCCCCATCAGTGTCGATTGAAGACAGTGAGACTTTTTAATCCTGCTGTTTCTTCTCACACTGATCAAGAAAGAAAACAAATAATTGTGGTGAAGTGAAGTCTTTGTTTAAGTTCCTGCTTTATATGAAACCCAGCTAGCACTATCAAGATAGTGATAAGATATACCCCTTCTTTTAGAAGTCCCATTTTGTGGTTTTATTATGGCAGTAGGGTATTAAATTATTGGAATCTGAGTTAAGGTGTGTTGTAAAGCTTCCATCATTACTGGGATTCATATAAAGCTCATAGGGTGGTCCAGCATGAATTGTTTTTGGTCGAATTTGTCCAATTATTCGCGGCAGAGCCCGTAACTTTGTATCTTGTCTGGCTAGTAGGTGAACTCTTTGCTTTACTATGAAGAATGTGTCGGAAAAGGCATTTTATATTTTTTGCACCTGCATCAGGAGATTGCAGATGGCGCATAGGGAGTTTGAATTGTCTATTCCGTGAAAGCAGTAAGAGATTGATGAAATCGTAGGGTTTTTCAGTATGACATTAGGTCCGATTTCAAACCGAGAGGGTGTTAATTGGAGTTAATTAAGACAATTCTGTTTCTGTATGAGGAGAGCAAAAACTTAAGTAGTTCTTCAAGAAGACAATTCCATTGCCCTTGAACTACTGGTATGCTACAGTTTAGAAATATCATCTCTGCGATGACTAGGGATACTAACTTGTAATTCGATAGACATTGTTTTATTGGGCAATTTTTTTTGTTGACAGAGGTTCTCTCTGTTCAGGATATTGGTGATACCGATGCCCGTGATTTGTTTGTGAAGTTTTCAGTGTCCTGTTTCGTTTACTGTCTAGTAACAGAGCCTTTCCATACCCGATACAGAGTCGACATAATGTCTTAATCTAGCTGCAATTTGTCGCTTACTGAAGAACTCAGTGGCCGCCGCACAAATGCAACCTTTTGTTATGTTGCTGGATGGAGCCCTTGTTGTATAGGGGCCTGATTAGATCTAGTTCTTGCTCCGTTGTGTTAGTTAATCACCATTGCATGCAAAACATTTGCTTTGACATGCTCTACATAGTACTAAATGGATGTCGTTCTTGCAGATGACTGTCTACACGAGCGGTGTCTCCGTCGTTATGCCGGGAGACAATATTCCGACCTTCATCGCATGCCCAGCTCCCGTGCCCTGCCCACTGGAACGCGTCTCGTGGCCTCTCCATCAACATCTCCCCTTACCTCATCATCCTGCACAAAGCACTAGCTCGAACAGGGGTTCGTCCTCTACTCAATGACGAACAGACACAGGGGATGGCAATATCGCCATGAGGATTGTGGTGATTTACAATGGGTTCGGAGCACAAGTCGCTAACCATCGGAAGCGGCACTCCAAACTCGGAAGCATGTCCGCCGGAGATTGAGGTTGGGATGCTCTATTTTTACTCCTGAGCTCTTGTATTGATGTACATAAGATTCCACAATTTAGAGGTTAGGCCTGTGGCTAATTTATTCGAGTCATCCCGCAAAGTTGCAGAAAAGCCTTGTATGACATGTTGGTAATGCATAGTCCATCATTGAAGAATGTTGTCATCTTGCTAACTTGGTGACCATGGCATTTGACCTTTTCATCAAAATAGATTTCTTAGGAAACTATTTTATCAAAATAGACTTTTTAGACTCTGTCTGTTTCACAAAAAATAAATGATTTGGAAAATAATTTTCTAAAAATATTAGCTTCTATCGGTTGAAATAATTATCAATCGAAAAAGTTTTCATTACCGACAACAATTTATGTTTATATATTTTCGCGTACAATGAAAACATTTTTACGCAATCAATCATTTTTAGGAAATTATTTTCCGAATTATTTATTTTCCACAAAATAAACTGAACCTTTCTATCGATCACTCTCCGAGATTGCCCGGTCATCACCCTCTTATGCCTTGTCATCTTTGTCTTTCTCGAAACAACTTCTCACACTTTGCATAATATTTATTTTCTTTCGAAATTAAATTTTCATAAATAATTAAAGCTGGAGCAAATTTTGCACAAGTAAATCGAATTAGAGATTAAATTCGAGAACTGAAAATCGTACGGCGGCTGGCGTATTAAGTAATATAGAGCATTCTTTGATCATGTTTTCTCTAGTGCTAAAAGAAGAATTAGAGATTAAGTTCGAGAACTGAAATTCCAAATGAAAATATATTTCTTGAGGCATATGCCTAGAATGGTCCCAAGAAATGACAGCAGAAGCTTGAATCTAGGTGTGTTCATTGTCTAGCGCATGACCTTTCTTACAATAAGAATGGAGCAATTAGATTTACAATGGTTGGTGTCAAAGAAAAGATCATGGTATAGGAAACTGAAGGAGAAGCAAGTGTTTCTTGTTGTCCATGACCATGAACACCTAACGCTACTAGAATACAAGTATTTGCTTGATCACCTAGAGACAAAACTCAAATCTTACAAGACAAGCAAGAGAAACCGAAGACGACGACCTCATTCTCGTCTCTTTCCCTCCGTCTTGTATTTCATCTGACTGTTGCATCACGTGACGGTGACACGTGACTAATAAATCGATCAAAAGTATATGGCCCCGAATAGAATGTTCTTTGTCGAGATTTGCATACCGCTATAACCCCTACTGCTCAGTTTTTTAAGTTTGAATGTCGTTTCACGGGCGAGAGTATTTAAAAATTAAATCATGCTTTTAATTTAATGGTGTAAGTCTTTGGAATAATTGATGTTGGTACCACAACATTTCATATTGTATGTAAGTTGGACATCCAAAACCTTAGACCAAAGTTCACCCTACACATGAGGGGAGTGCCATAGCATTAAATTGTGCCTTCTTCTAATTCAAAAAATTTCGCATCTCTGATCTCATCAATAACAACATGATAAAATTTATTAGAGATTACTAGAGAGAGTGGCTAGCGCAATGATCTCACGCTCGTTTTGCCTTCCATAAGGCATGAGTTCAAATAAGTAGAACGAATCTCATGAAGAGACCTTCACACCCTCATGCGAAGAGGGCCATTATCTTCGGGTTAGAGGTGATCATCGGTCAGACCTAATCTTGCGGTCGAGATCGATACTCAAGCTTGTCCGTCATTAGTTTTTTATGTACAAATCTTCGGGTCTGGCCAAGCTATGAATTTGATGCATTCAGTTGCCCTAAGTTGAATGGATCATGTCTTCTAATCACAGAGGCCAGTTTTTGAGTGTTCAAGTGGAGGACATGCTGAGTAGCAAAATGAGTGACGCGAGATCAAATCTAGGGCAAGATTGAGATTGATTTGGTATTGTTGTCTTTGTGATTTTGGTTCTATGATTGAGTAGCAGGTGATATCATTAAGCTTTTTAATCTTTACATAATGCCATTTAATTTAATTCGTAAATAAGGTTACTTCAAAATTTGTATTAGTGGTAAATTTATTGAGATCTCAATCCAAAAAAAAAAAAAAAAACTTGGAATTACAAACTCGGTTCCCACTCAAAGCTGCCACTTGAGGTCAGATCGCAAGAAATCGATTAGCTTTGCATCCGAGTCCAGGTCTCGCCGTACATGATATGCGTCTGACCAGACTGGGAAGTATTGTAATATATATTTTTAGAATATATGTTTTAAAACTACAACATTTTAAAGGTGAAAACTATTTAAAAAATCTTAAACCTATTGTATGGCAGCCAAATCAGTCATAAACTTTTCGATTGTACTAGTTTAGTCATAAACATTTTGACAATTTGCCAATATAGTCATTTCTATCAATTTTGGCTAGAAATTGTTGACGTAGACACCGATCATTTTACATAACACAATCGGCGCTAACGTGGACAACTTATTTATTTTTTTGAAAATTTTCGAATTTTTTTTTGTTTCCTTTTCTTTTCTTTTTTTCTTTTTCCTTTTCTCTTCTACTTCTTTTTTCTATTTCCCTCCGTCAATTGCTGGGCCTCGGCGACCTCCGCTGGCCACGGGGCAACCCTCGAGCAAGGGCTTGACCCTTGCAGCCTTTGGCAAGGTCTGCCCTCACCCAGGCAGCCCTAGGTGAGTGCGGCTATCGCCGAGGCCCGGTGACCAGATGAGGAAATAGGAAAAAAGAAATAAAGAAAAAGGAAAGAAAAATTCTAAAAATTAAAAAAATTGTCTACGTCAGTGCCGGCTGTGCCACATAGGATGGTTAGTGTCTATGTTAGTGATCTCTGGCCAAAATTGACAAGAAGAATAATATTGACAAATTGTGAAAAAGTTTAAGATTAAATTAACAAATTTATAAAATTTAGGAGTGAATTGACAGACGTACAATAAGTTTAGGACTTTTTAGACAATTATCCCCACTTTGAAGCTAGATGAGATAGTTTCGATAAATACTGTTGCAGCTTTGGAGGTACACAAACACCTTAGCAAAATTGCAATATCCCTTTTTACGGTTGAAATTTTTGAGGGAAACTATACCAAATAACCTCTTAATTTCGCGAGCGAAAGACGACTCTTTTCTTAAACAAAGGGCAAGAACTAGCTGCTGCTCGTTAGGAGGCGCTCATCTATCGGTGGTTTTATGAGTACATTTAGGGCCCGTTTGGTAACGTGCCAAATAGTAAAAATTTCTGTTCTTTTGTTCCCGGAAATAGTTTGGGAACAAATGCGTTTGTAAACTTTTTGTTCCTCGGCACATTTTTGCAAAAATTTGTGCCGAGAAGCAGATTTTGGAAGAGAAACAAGAAGTAAAAAAAGTTGTTTCTTGTTTCTCGGCACAATTTTGAGAATCGGTTTTTTTCTTCTTTTTCTTTTTTTCATTTCTTATTTTGTGTGTTGTTCCTTTTGGCAAGGTTGGCGCTAACGTGAATAACTTATTTATTTTTTTGAAAATTTTCGGAATTTTTTTCCTTTCCTTTCCTTTCCTTTTTTTTTTCCTTTTATCATCATCATCATCTTCTTCTTCTTCTTCTCCTTTTTTCTATTTCCCTCCGTCAATTGCTAGGCCTCGGTGACCTCCGCTGGCCACGGGCAAGGGCTCGAGCAAGGGCTTGACCCTTGCAGCCTTTGGCGAGGTTTGCCCTCACCCAGGCAGCCCTAGGTGAGGGCGGCTATCGCCAAGGCCCGGTGATCGGCTGAGGAAATAGGAGAAAAGAAATAAAGAAAAAGGAAAGAAAAATTCTAAAAATTAAAAAATTGTCTACGTCAGTCGTCACTGCCCACATGGATGGTTGGCGTCTATGTTAGTGATCTCCCAAAATTGACAAGAAGAATAATATTGACAAATTGTGAAAAGTCTAAGATTAAATTAACAAATTTATAAAATTTAGGAGTGAATTGACGACGTACAATAAGTTTAGGACTTTTTAGACAATTATCCCCACTTTGAAGCTAGATGAGATAGTTTCGATAAATACTGTTGCAGCTTTGAGGTACACAAACACCTTAGCAAAATTGCAATATCCCTTTTTACGGTTGAAATTTTTGAGGGAAACTATACCAAATAACCTCTTAATTTCGCGAGCGAAAGACGACTCTTTTCTTAAACAAAGGGCAAGAACTAGCTGCTGCTCGTTAGGAGGCGCTCATCTATCGGTGGTTTTATGAGTACATTTAGGCGCTCAATCCTCATTCTCTCTTCTCCTAAGTCCATGAGCAGGCCTCACTTGATGGACCGTTGGATTTGCATCACCTGTCAATTAAGCTTAAAAGAAAACTCTCTCTCTCTCTCTCTCCAGGTGGGCTGCGGAGTCGCCGGAGACGTCGGCGGCGGTGGCGACATGAGTTCACTAGGTGAGGGCTTGTAGAGAGATGAGGAGGTGGTTGGAGTATTGGGTGTTTTTGCAAAATTATTCTACGTTGTTGTTGACTACACAAGTGTACGATGGAGAGTACCAACCAACAAGCGACATTTAGCGAGCAACAGCTAATTTTAATTCATATAAAAGGGAAAAAATATGTTTACCTCTACCCTATTATAAAAGCTAATTGTCTGAAGATTATCCACAATGACGTTTTTCTCTAAGGAGAGAGGACATAAGTATCTAGGTTCTCCACAATAGTATAGTCTACATGCTTGAGCTTCATGTAACAATTAGCTACACTTAAATAAAAAAAATCATGTAATCCTGATGGCACTGCACTGTCCCACCCACCCAAATTAGATCTCCAATTGAAAAACACCATTTGGTCGTTTGTCACAACATTTGTACAAGCATACAAGAAATTAGATTCACCCACTTTGATTACTTCGTCCTACCTACATGCATTTGTACAACTATAAGACCAAGGTAAATTATTTTAGAATTAAGGATTACCAGTAAGTGACATTACTTACCTTCTAGTGATTTGCAATGATTTAGATATTGTTGCTTGTGTAGCTTCTAATTATGCACATACTTCGGGTGCACTTTGGGCGCTATATGGTTTTGAAATTCGAAGAGCGTGACATCGATCTTTTAACCACTAGTTAACTTGTAAGAGATAATTTTGCGTGATCTGTGAGGGCAACCTACATGCATTTGTATAACTATAAGACCAAGGTAATTATTTTAGAATTAAGGATTACTAGTAAGTGACATTACTTACCTTCTAGCAATTTGCAATGATTTAGATATTGTTGCTCGTGTATCTTCTAAATATGTACATACTTCGGGGCATACTTTTGGCGCTACTTGGTTTTGAAATTCGAAGGGCGTGACATCGATCTTTTAACCACTAGTTAACTTGTAAGAGATGACTGTGCGCGACGTGTGGGAGAAGTCCCCCAATTTCGTACCAACATGCTCATTCTATACCGATTCGTTTTGCTAATGACCGTCAAGAAATTCGTGCCGTCCTCGTTTATGCCGGTTGCCCTCAAGAAATATTAGAAGGACCTCCCACCTCTAGCTCCAGATAAGTACGAGAGCATGACAAGTTGAAGGATTCGAGCTCACAATCACATGAACGGGATTGAAGCGGTATCGCCAACTGTGTTGCGCCCCCGGAGAGCCTAAGGGTGCTTATTGTATTGGGTGTTTTGCAAAATTATTCTACGTTGTTGTTGACTACACAAGTGTACGATGGAGAGTACCAACCAACAAGCGACATTTAGCGAGCAACAGCTAATTTTAATTCATATAAAGGAAAAAAATATGTTTACCTCTACCCTATTGTAAAAAAGCTAATTGTCTGAAGATTATCCACAATGACGTTTTCTCTAAGGAGAGAGGACATAAGTATCTAGGTTCTCCACAATAGTATAGTCTACATGCTTGAGCTTCATGTAACAATTAGCTACACTTAAATAAAAAAATCATGTAATCCTTGTGGCACTACACTGTCCCACCCACCCAAATTAGATCTCCAATTGAAAAACACCATTTGGTCGTTTGTCACAACATTTGTACAAGCATACAAGAAATTAGATTCACCCACATTGATTACTTCGTCCTACCTACATGCATTTGTATGACTATAAGACCAAGGTAAATTATTTTAGAATTAAGGATTACCAGTAAGTGACATTACTTACCTTCTAGTGATTTGCAATGATTTAGATATTGTTGCTTGTGTAGCTTCTAATTATGCACATACTTCGGGGTGCACTTTGAGCGCTATATGGTTTTGAAATTCGAAGAGTGTGACATCGATCTTTTAACCACTACTTAACTTGTAAGAGATAATTTTGCATGATCTGTGAGGGCAACCTACATGCATTTGTAAGACCAAGGTAATTATTTTAGGATTAAGGATTACTAGTAAGTGACATTACTTACCTTCTAGCAATTTGCAATGATTTAGATATTGTTGCTCGTGTATCTTCTAAATATGTACATGCTTCGGGGCATACTTTTGGCGCTACTTGGTTTTGAAATTCGAAGGGCGTGACATCGATCTTTTAACCACTAGTTAACTTGTAAGAGATGACTGTGCGCGACGTGTGGGAGAAGTCCCCAATTTCGTACCAACATGCTCATTCTATACCAATTCGTTTTACTAACGACCGTCAAGAAATTCGTGCCGTCCTCGTTTATGCCGGTTGCCCTCAAGAAGTATGAGAAGGACCTCCCACCTCTAGCTCCAGATAAGTACGAGAGCATGACAAGTTGAAGGATTCGAGCTCACAATCACATGAACGGGATTGAAGCGGTATCGCCAACTGTGTTGCGCCCCGGGAGAGCCTAATTCTCCTTTGGCAAGGGGATTCTCATTGGCCCGTTTGGTTCAATAATCAAAGAGGCAGGGAACCAATGGCCTGGTGATGCTGCCTTTCTGGGCCGAGGGACCAAGCTTTCGTGTTTCCAGTAGGATAGTTCTCTTTGTTGGTGGTTATGCAAACAAAGATGTGGCAATATTCATAAATTATCTACAATTTGTAGATTTAAAAACTTTTTGGTTCCGATCACGTAGATTTCAAGTGATAATTCATCTCAAGTCGAACTCGTTTGAATAGGAGATATCATAGAATTTTCTAGAGCTGCGTATAAGGGTGCGAATGATAACTATTCTCCGCTCGAAATCAAATTCTTACCGAAATTGATTTAATTCTTGCTAGAAATTGATTTCGGAGGAGAATGCTTTGGTAAAACATAACTAATTTTGCTCCGTAAATTGATTTGAACAAAAATCTGTTTTGATTTGTTGATTTTTTTGCACCTAAAAAATTTAAATTTTACTCAAAGTGGGTGGCCACATGTATTATAAGCCATTTTGTGAAGTTTTGAAATTTTTGATTTTTTTGGGCACTTCAAAATATTTAAATGTCACTCAAAGTGGGTGGCCACAGGTATTCTAAGTCATTTTGTGAAGTTTCGAAATTTTTTATATTTTTATATTTTTTTGGGCACCTCAAAAAATTTAAATTTTACTCAAAGTGGGTGGCCATAGGTATTATAAGACATTCCGTGAAGTTTTGAAATTTTGATTTTTTTAAGACCTCAAAAATTTAAATTTCACTCAAAGAGTGGCTACGGGTATTCTAAGCCCATTTTGTGAAGTTTTGAAATTTTTTATTTTTTTTATTTTTTTTGGCACCTCAAAATATTTAAATTTCACTCAAAGTGGGTGGCCACATGTATTTTAAGCTATTTTGTGAAGTATTGAATTTTTTGATTTTTTTTTGGAACCTCAAAAAATTTAAATTTTACTCAAAATGGGTAGCCACAAGTATTCTAAGCCATTATGTGAAATTTTGAATTTTTTGAATTTTTTGATTTTTTTTGGATACCTCAAAAAAATTAAATTTCACTCAAAGTGGGTGGTCACTTGTATTTTAAGCCTTTCTGTGAAGTTTTGAATTTTCGAGATTTTTTGGAAAAAATTTAATCAATTTTCTATTTTCCCGAAATCTGACTTTTTTTTTATTTTCTGGAAATTTTTATGAATTTTTCTGGAATTTTTCAATTTTTATGGATTTTCTGAATTTTTTTTAGATTTTTAGGAATTTCCCAAATTTTCTAATTTTTAGGAATTTTTGGAGACAAGAAAGAAATTGCTTCCAAAATGAGAGAAGCTAAAAAAAATAGCTCCAGAATTTTGGGCCAAAACTCATTTAGGAATCAAGAATGCATTCCGGAGCTACAAAAAGAATGTGTTTTTATCAAACGCGTTTTTGTTCCAGAATGCAAAAATTTCTCCAGAATGCATTCCGGAAATTTTTTAACAAACGTCATTCCTTGTTCGAATATATTCCTGAATTAGTTTTGTCTCCGTAAATCAAATTCTCGCGTAAATCGATTTCTAATTCTGCTTTAAATTGATTTTTGAGGAAAATCTGTTTGATAAAACACGACTAATTCTCGCTTCCAAATCGATTTCCTAACAGTAAATCTATTTTTTATTTTTTATTTTATTTTTTTGGGCACCTCAAAAAAAATAAATTTCACTCAAAGTGGGTGCCCAAAGGTATTCTAAGCCATTTTGTGAAATTTTGAAATTTTTGATTTTTTTTATATTTTTTGGCACCTCAAAAATTAAATTTCACTCAAAGTGGGTGCCCAAAGGTATTCTAAGTTATTTTGTGAAGTTTTGAAATTTTTGATTTTTGGGCACCTCAAAAAATTAAATTTCACTCAAAGTGGGTCTAAAAGTATTTTAAGCCATTTTGTGAAGTTTTGAAATTTTGATTTTTGATTTTTGGGCACCTCAAAAATTAAATTTCACTCAAAGTGGGTCTTAAAGGTATTCTAAACCATTCTACGAAAGCTAAGTTTTGAAATTTTTATTTTTATATTTTTGAAAAAATTCACCAAATTTCCTATTTCCCGAAATCGACTTTTTTATTTTCTGAAATTTTTATGAATTTTTCTAGAATTTTTCAATTTTTATGCATTTTCTGAAAAAAAAAATTTAGTGAGAAAAAGAGAGAAAATAGGAGAATTAGGTATATTAGTATAGTTTATTATTTAATAAATTTTTTATTAAGGAATGATGGAAGGGAATAGAAAAGAAATAAAAAAGAGGAAAATAATTAAAAATAAGTAAATAAAAATGAAGTAGAAGAACTATGATTATTAATGAACAAACTCAAACTTGAAATGGATCGTCCATGCGCGCCGCCCTTAACAAACGCATTTTTATTCTAGAATGCAAAAATCGCTTCGAATGCATTTCAAAATTTTTAACAAACGCATTGTCCTGAACGCATAGAGAGTTGCAACTCCTTCTCCTTAGTAACTCTCTAGCTTGTGTCAAAAGTCCACAAAAGCAGCAAAAGAGTCAAAGCCTTTTTTTTTTGTTCGTAACTCTATGATTGATGTTGAAGTTTCACGAACGTGGCAAGAGAGTTAAAACACTAAATCGCGAAAATGAATAATCATGTTTTCTCTCTTTTACTAGATTTGGCTAATCTATTTCGTCGACGTTGTTATAATCCGTTTATATGTCTTGTCATTATTGAATCTGATTAAGATGCAGGTCACACAATAGTTATGAATGGATTGATGATGATTATTTCCTTTAGTGCACTTATGATTTCTATACTAGTTAATCACGAGAAATTCTAACCATCTCCATCTGTTCATTTTTAGGTCCATTCATACCATACAAATGGATACGAAAGGATGTAAAAATATTTAAATTTATTACTTCGATTCACCAAATATTAAATATGACGTAACAAAATCCCTAGACTTCATTTTCCATCTTATCATGACTAAAAATCCAGACGATTAGATGCAGTGTAGTCAAGATAGGAGAGTCGCCATCCCATCGAGATTAATCGATTGTTGGCCGGCACCGGGACATCCGAACCAATAAACCAAAAAAGCTTCAAATTCACTCCAAAATCAAAAGTGGGGAAAAGGAAAATTCAAAGGTCATGCATACATTAATTAAGATATAGGGCCACAGGACGACCAACAAAATTCGTGGGCCCCCCATCCTAGGTGGGAGAGTCTGTCCCCTTCCTAAAAAGCGCACCCTCTGTCCTTCAAATCGAATTCAAAAAAAAGAAAACATTGACAAAAGAAGATCCCCCGAAAACGAAAAAACGTTGCTGTTTCGTGTTTGCTGATATTCTCTGTGTACACACAGCTGCTGCGCAAGACTTGATACGAAACGGGGTATAAAAATCGAAACTTTACAGTGAGACTCGACTCTCGAGCTAAAGAGGAGCCGACCCAACATCAAGAACCTGCTTTCTGAGCTACCCCACGGATCACGCCCTCGGATCTTTCCCTTTTCAATCGCATTCAGGCGATAAAGAGAGGGACTTCATGCGTCTGTGACTTCGCTTTTCCCATTTTTAATAGCTGCCCATTTTGGCCGGAAGGGCTCCTTACAAATACAGAGCAAAATCGTACCGCCTTCGCTGCCTTTCCGGGGTCCCTCTCTCTCTGTCTTCTTGTGCTCGTGCTTTCGCTTTACCCTCCTGTACTTCGCCAGAACTCGTGAAGTAGATCGTTCTTGGTCTGTAGCTCTGACGTTTCTCCTTGTGATTCTCTGCTTCAGTCTTCTGATACACACTCCTCGTTTCTGAAATCCCGGTTGGCGAGCAAAGTGGACGTGTTCTTTTCTTTCTGTGATTTTCTTTTTGGGCTTTTGGGTGTCGTTGTTTTGGCCATTGAGGCCATTTCTTGTTTGTTTCCTGAGAGAGTGAAGTGCGCCAGAGGAGAACGAGAGGAAAAAAAGGTGGGATTTTTGGTAGCGGAGACTGTCAGGAGTGTCATGGGCTTCGCGAAATCGAAGATGCTTTTCCGACGGTTCGTGGTGATGTTCCTCATTTGCACGGCGTCGGTCTGCTCTGGCGTCACTGATCCTCGTGATGGTGAGTGAATCATCACTCATGGCAATTTACATTGTATGATCTGGGTTTTGAAATTGCGTGCGTGCGTTTGTTTCATTGTTTTCATGTTTGTTTGGTTCATGGGAGAGAAAAAAACAACTGTTGAAGGAGATTTGTAGCAGCTTTACTTGGTAAACACTTGAAATTTTTTCCACATTTTACATGTGTAATCTCTTTGGTTTTCTTTGCGAGCTGTCTTTTCTCTGTCCTTGGTTGTTGTTCGCTATTTGGTGAAATAGTTGTTTTAATGAACAATTTTCCCGAAGCAAGCACTAGTGGAGATGCATTTCAGTATTGCATAACATAGACCTGTGCAGTCGGTTTCTCTGTATATCATCGGCTGTTGGTTTAACATGTGAACTGTGAAACCTGAATTATGTACCTTATGTTAGCTCCTTTCTGCTTTTCAGTGGCGGCAATCAATAGCTTGTATGTTTCACTGGGCTACCCGCCTCTCCGTGGGTGGTTACTTGTTGGAGGCGATCCTTGCGATGACAATTGGGAAGGTGTCGAGTGCGTCATGTCAAACGTAACGGGACTGTAAGTCTATTTCTTTTGTTCCCTTTTACAAGTGTAATGATTCAATTTACTAAGTTATTTTGAGTCAGACAGAAATCTGAGTGGAGCCAATTTGGTTGGTAAATTGGGCGACAGTTTGGACTTCGCATCACTCTTGTCGATGTAAGTAAATGTTTTGCCATTCCAATATTTGATTGACATCATTACAATCATTGTATCATGAGATCTATATAACCCTGCTGCATGTCTGCTTAGATAGTATCAATGGGCCTTAATCTAGTTTGCACCTCTTATGTCTGAAGTTTGTGACACGAGGATCCTGGGGGACCTGAAAACTCACATCTGCTCTTTTCAATGCAACATCAGAATTAAGGGGTCCATAATCAACTCATGATTCTTTAGAATTCTCATAGATGATGCGCATGGAAGAAGGAATTAGCAGTGTTTGAAATGCGATATGTTACTAAAACTTGCAAGCATCACGTTAAATGAGTGAATGAAGATACGTACTTCTATATGTTCTTCTATATGTGGGAAACTGAGTCATGGACATGCATTACTGGCAAACCTTTTGATCCTTCTAATTATTGTTGAGCAGTGATTTCAGCAACAATCAGATTGGGGGGAGTGTTCCATCCCATGTGCCACCTACTGTTCTTACAATGTATGTTCGAATTTTGTTAATGAAGTTCCTCTATTTTCCAAATACCAGAAGCTTTCATTTGTGAATTGCTATTCTTATCAAAGGGACACTTCATGTTGGGCCCTCTTTCGATCGTTGTTTGTATTTTTTTGTTTCCTCGTCATCTGACATTTACTGCTTATCCTTAGGTTGTTGGGCAATAACCTTTTCAGTGGAGAAATTCCAGACTTGTTCGAAGAGCTTACGAGTTTGGCACATCTGTAACCAACCATTTCTAGTTTTATCGTTTTTCTCCTTTTTATTTCTTCTTATGCTTCACTCTGATCTGACTTTCTGTTGCAGGGATTTGTCCAGTAATAACCTCACTGGTCATTTACCTCCATCATTTGGAAACCTGTCAGCTGTTACCACATTGTGGGTACATATCATTGCACAAAAAGATCATTTCATCAAACATTTAATATTTCTAATGGATCATATGATCTTCTTTTTACAGGCACTTGCAGAATAATAAACTCACTGGGACTCTGAATGTTTTAGAGGATCTTCCTCTAGTTGATTTGTACGCTTCTATATGCTTGATACTACTTCCACTTTGTCTGCAGATTCTAGTTCTTGGAGAAACTTCTCTTAACTAGAAAATATATGCTGCCTTCATAAGTTGAATAATAATATATTTATGCGCAGGGATATAGAGAACAACTTATTCTCCGGGCCTATTCCTCCAAAGTTGCTGACTATTCCAATTTTCAAGTAAGTTTTCTCTGACATGGTGCTTGAAGGTGAATTTGACACTTGCTACTTGTATTCCTTTGTGGTATGTTAATCTTGGGCTTGTTTCGTACTCGCTTTCAAGTTAGTCTTGATCATTGATGTTCCAAATTACGATATTGTGATGAATTCCTGTTGTAGTTTGTAATGTTTGGTTATCCATTTATTTATCAGACTTTTCAATAATCTCTCTTCAAAATATAGTACCGTTGGGTCCGATGCCATCTCTAATATATGGTACTAGAGATGTGTAGGATCTGAGGGTAGTGCAATTAAAGATACAAAATGGAAAAATAGGGTGGTACATAGATTGAAAACACCATCTCAAGTAATCGCTAGAATGGAAGAAAAGGAAGCATTCTTCAGTTTAAGATGACAAACAATTCACAATGGGCCTTAATATGCTTTTTTTTTTCCTGTGAATTCTTACTTTGGACATAACTAGACCCTACAATAAACACTTTTCTCTTTTCTTTTCCATTTCATGTATCAAGGATTTGTAAGTGTCCTTCTGGATCCCAAACTGTTAGTGATTCAATTGGTAATTTTAAATTTCTAGTTTCCAATCCTTCGAGCTTCAATTTATATTCCAATTTTAATTTGTTTGTAATTAAATTTTGGGTTTGTCTTCTATACACAGGCAGTGCATGGATTAATGCATAAGCAAGTCCTATTTTTGGTAACAAATGTAGTGTAAACTTAACAATGGTTACTTGTATGGTCGCAAAATTGAAATTAGGAAAGTTTAAAAATTGAAATACCAATTAGCGAGTATTAAAATTGGCCTAATTCCCTAAAAAACCCCAAACTTTAGGTCAAGTCCCAAATCTGCCTCAAACTTTTATTTGTCTCAGAAAGAACCCAAAACTTTAGATCCAATCCCAAATATACCTTGAACTTTTTTTTGTCTTAGAAAAAATCCCAAACTTTGAGTCCAGCCCCAAATCTGCCCCAAATTTTGTTGTGTAAAAAAAATCACCAAAATTCAACTTATTTTCAAAAATATACCCCCGTGATTCAATCTCAACTTGACGTGGCACTTCCACGTCGATAACAAATCCAAATTAACAAAGTAATGGGGCTTTTTTTTGGACAAAGAAAAGTTCGGTCCAAATTTGGACTGAACCTAAAAATTGGGTTTTTTTTATATCAAAATTTTTTTTTTGGGTGGATTTGTTATCATTCCTAACTTTCATATCCTAGAACAGTCAACAATTTTTATTGGGTTGGATTTGTTATCGAAGTGAAAATGCGACGTCGTCCTATACCTATCACTTCATTACTTTGTTGATGTGGATTTGTTATCGACGTTGAAGTGCCACGTCAAGTTGGGATTGGATCACGAGGGTATATTTTTGAAAATAAATAAAATTTGCTGATTTTTTTACACAAAACAAAATTCGCAGCAGATTTGGGACTGAAGTTAAAGTTTGGGGTTTTTTCTGAGTCTAAAAAAAGTTCGGGGTAAATTTTAGACTGGACCTAAAGTTTGGGATTTTTTCTGAGACAAAAAAAAGTTCGGGGTATATTTGGGACTTGACCTAACGTTTGGGGTTTTTCTTGGAATTCACCCTATTAAAATTGGAAGATCTTATTGCATTTCTTAATTTGTGTTGTTGTAATACCTGAGGAAAAACACATACCCCTGTAATGGAAATCCTTTAATCACAAAAGACTGGTATCTTCCAATTTCTAAATAAAAAAAAGCATTTTGAAGTCTTCTTGCACTTTTTTTTTGGTAAGGAAGTCTTCTTGCACTTTAAATCCATTTTAAACCACAAAATATTTTTGAAAATTAGATTCGCAAGTATTCTCTCTTATTTAAAAAATAAATTTCGTGAGTCTAAAGAAAAAATAATGGGATTAAATGACAATAATTAGATAGGAGAAGATGTTTCCACACTCTCTTTGGCTTGGTGAAGTTTTTAAGAAAAAAACAATTCCTGCTGTCGTGTATCCCTGATTAATGCATCCTCTTCCTGTAGTAAGAAGAGTGGTTATGGACCCTGTAGACCATCCACATGGGGGCTGTGAAGGGAGAGCCCCAATTGGTTGGAAAAAAAACCGGGGTGCTATCATCTAGTTTTGTATCGGCTGAGTTCACAAGTTGAAGATAAGCCGACTGGAACCGCTGACATCTGACACAGGGTAAACCACCGCCTCTCCGCCCCTGGGCTAATTCTACCATACAGGCCAACAATAGACATTAACTCCCCCTGAACACAGCTTACAACTATCATTGTACTGTACTATCCAAAGAGCGACTCTTCTCAAAATCTTAGAGGGTACTGAGTTGGAATCCCATTCTAACTAAGGATTCTTGTGGTTCCAGAGGATTCTGCTATAGGGCGAACCAAGAACGGAGAGCTTTGCCCCCCTTTTTCACCCAATTCTTTGGTCTTAAGAATGATGATATGAATTTTACATCTTTCTCTCATCTTTTCAGTTTTCTCGTTCATTTGAAAGATTAAACAATCAATAATCCTATCTTTTGTGCTCTTATTTCTTTACTATTTCATCTTTTATCCATCTCCCTTCTTTATTCTTTCCCCTCAACAAAAGCTTCTTGCCGTTTTCGTTACAAACAATGGATAGTGAAGGAACTTATTATGGTCTTACTTGGGTTGTAGAAAAATTCATCTTCCTTCCTCTCATCCAATCGGACGTATATTAATGTCACTGAAGCTCAAGATGATGGAGAATTGAATCCAACTTCCTTTGTCTCCATTCATAAAATGATCTATGTATTTAAGAAGAAGTTCGAATGATTTTCGTGCTATGCAATTTTAGCAATCGTTGATGGTCTAGCTTTTTTTAGAAACAATTAGTATTTTAAGGAAATTTTAACTAATGTGCTGCAAATAACTGTGATTAACAAAAAGAGGTTAGAAAGCATGGTTAAGTGGACCCACCTATGGATGACTTCATACATCCTCAATGTATGGAAGATTTCCCCTTAAAATTTTGTTTGTAATCTTGTGATTTCAAATTATCACTAAATTTATCAATTTCTTCAACGTTCATGTCTTCAAAGATTCTGCTGTCTGATCCTGCGGCATCTCTGGCGTGTGTTTATATATATGTATAGTCAAATCTGGTGGAGTTGCTTAATGGACCAAGTAAATATGATGCCTGATTCCAAAGCCACTGTTGTTTGAGAAATGACTAGTATGGCAAACTCTTTACCATATGTAATTAAGAATTCTCCTCATGCTTCCTTTTGGTGATTAACAGCGCTGGTATAATCACACCCTGGTGATTAACAGGGATTGTGATCTATAGTTGGTTTTGTACTTTCTATATTGTCACCATACCGTTGGTCATGCAGAAAAGGTGGAAATCCTTTTAATACAAGTGTAATTCCATCACCATCACCACCACCATCACCATCAGCAGCACCAGCACCAGAGCCAACCTCTGCACCTGCTCCATTCATAGGCGGCCCACCTTCTCCGGGCGTGCCTTCAAAGCACGGAAATGGATCTTCTGCAGAGGCACCACATTCTGCTCAATCAAAGGGAGGGTTGAGGGTTAGAAATGTCCTTTTGATAACTGGTATAGGGGCTCTGGTGGTGGTTGCGATCACATCGCTGTGCCTATGCTTGTGGAGATGCAGCAAAAGGAAGCAAATGAAAGAGACAGGCAAGAGGCATGACATGGGCGTATATGCAAACGGTCAAGGGGCTGCTAAAAGCAAAGAATCATCAGGACAACCATACATAGATATGGAGAGACGTCAGTCCATGATAACCTTTTTCTACTATTAAATTGATTGTTACATTCGTGTTTAGCTTAAAAGATGGTTTAAATTTCATCAGATGTTCCACGATGGGCTGTTCTGGAACCTTTAGGCAAGATGGGAGAAGACCATGGAAGAGCCGGTTCAAGTAACAGACAAATGGATGTGACCAAAGCATTGAGCTTGAGGCCGAAGGACCAAGTAGGAGATGCCAGTTTGCCCTTGCAACCTCTGGTTTCTCCTCTCGCACCACACATTCCGGATAAGAAGGTTATCGTAAATCCTGTTGTTTCTGCTCAGCCTACTGTGCTGAGACGGCCTTCTGAGAGAGCAGTCTCTTCACCTTCGGTCCCGTTTTACAGCATAGCATCTCTTCAGGAGTTCACAAACAGCTTTTCTCCTGAAAACTTTGTTGGAGAAGGCACACTTGGAAGTGTCTACAAGGCCATGCTTCCTGATGGAAGGGTAACATATCATTGAACTTGATCACAGTTTTTAAGTTCTACTAGAGGGCAGCTTTCAAGCCCGTTTGTTCCTAAAATGGAACTCTTTTTCCTCTCACCTATTAAATGCTACACGTTCCTTGCCAACTCCATCTGGTTTCCTATTTTCACATGTATTCCTGCTTTAATAAATCATGATTTCGTTGTTCGCGTTTATTTCAGCTACTAGCGGTCAAGAAGCTAAAGGCCACGGTTTCCAGTCAGCAGAGCAATGAGAAATTTGGTGCTCTGGTGTCGAGAGTCTATAAGCTTCGGCATAGCAATATTGTGGAGCTTGTGGGCTACTGTGCTGAGCATGCTCAACGGCTACTTATTTATCAGTATTGCCGAAATGGGACGCTGTATGATGCATTGCATCTGGATGATGAGGTCCATGGAAAACTTTCATGGGCTGCGCGGATTCGTGTTGCCATTGGAGTTGCAAGAGCCTTGCAGTAAGTAGAGCAACTAATTTTCTTTATCTATTGTCAATACAAGCTTGCGGTGGAAGAGAACGGCGCCGTAAAAGTAATAGTTGTTATGGCTACTTGTTTATTAACCTCCTTGCTCGTGTCTTAAGCTTATAATGTTCTAGGTGGTTTTCATGTCACAATTTTAGTTCTAAAGTCTGTAAACTCACGGTATCTCCTTATTTGGTGGGAAGGTATCTGCATGAGGTTTGTCGGCCACCTGTTGTATACAGGAACTTTAGCTCTACCAACATCCTTCTAGATGATAAGCTCGAAGCACGAGTCTCAGAATGTGGTCTGGCTCCTTTAATATCAACTGGCTCTGAAAGTCAGGTAACGCTTCACAAAATGTACCTTGTTGACTTGAATCATGATCTTGTCCTTTCATCTAAGTTGATTACACTATATTTCCATCTCATCGAATAATGTATTAGGAGTTACTATTGGGAGTAGCCGTAGATGAGATGCTGGGGACAATTAAGATTGGTGGATAGGTTTTTTAGGCCCATAGATATTAAGTAGGATAAATTGAAGTGGGGTTGATCTTCTGGGTGATTTGGTAAAAATTTCTTAAGCTGCAAATTATTAGCTTTTTCTTTTTCTTTTTTCCCATTTCTCCTTTCTTTGTTGATTGATCTTTGCTGAGAAAGTTGCTATCTCAACTTTTTGGAGAGGTTATTGTTTCCATGAAGAAATTTACTGAAGGTCAAACTGATTATTCAAGTCAACAAACTTTCATGAACAACATTACTACATGTCTATATCTACCTTATTTTAGATGCTAATTCAGGTTTTGGTCGAGTCTTTCTAACATCGACCGCTTATATCTCAGTTTTCCGAGCACCTCAATCCTAACGGTTACACAGCCCCAGAATCTGAGTCGGGTTCCTATTCCTGGCAAAGTGATGTGTATAGCTTTGGAGTTGTAATGTTGGAGCTTCTCACCGGTAGGAAGTCACTTGACAGGTACACGATTACCCAGAAAAGCCTATTCTTTTCTTCTTTTTTCATGCCTTTGATTCTATTCTGATGATTTTAGATTTACAAATCTGGTGCTTGTCTTTGACCTTCACTGTTTGTTTTCACATGCTATCTTCTCTTGAAAAATGAAACCTTTAGGTCACGGCCCAGAGGGGAGCAATTTCTGGTTCGATGGGCAATACCCCAGCTTCATGATATTAATGCGCTGTCAAAGATGGTGGATCCTTCGCTTAGTGGTTTCTATCCCACCAAATCATTGTCGCGCTTTGCTGATATAATCTCTCGATGTGTTCAGGTATAGTAGCCTCACTTTTTTCGGATTTTCCACGTAAACATGTTTGAACAGTCCTTAAATTTTTTGAGGGAAACAAATTGGGAAAAAGCCACCAAAAACCCTAAACTATACTCACTATGACACGTTTGCCCAAAACTTTTTTCTAGTGACACCAAAAATCCCAAACTTGTACCTGTGACACATTTATCGTTCGTCAAGGTTCTGTCAATGGGCACTGTTAAAAAGCTGTCTACATGGATGCTGTAAAGCAATCGGTGTTAACATGGCGCTCGCGTGGTTTAAGTGAAATAAAAATAACGCTGTTTTGACTGGAAAATCATTTGAGGAAACCTTGACAGAGGGTAAATGTGTTACATAAGTACAAGTTTGGTGTTTTTTATGTCACAAGAAAAAGTTTAGGGCAAATGTGTCACAGTGGGCATAGTTTGGGTTTTTTATTCACAAAAGAAGTTTAGGGTAATGTGTCATATTTGGGGTTTTTGGTGGTTTTTTCCCAAACAAATTTACTAATCCTTTCAAAGTCGAGCATGAATATTTTGGTGGCGGCTTGGTTAACACAGATCCATTGTTTCTGCAGAGAGAGCCAGAATTCAGGCCCCCGATGTCTGAAGTTGTGCAGGACCTATTGCGAATGATGTGAAGTGAAGTTCAAAAATCACCCTGAGGTTGAAGTTTATTATTTAACTTAATAATGTCTATAGCAATGGCCTTGGAGAGGATAACAGAGCCCACAATACTTTGATACTTAATTACAGTGCAGTATCAGCAATGGTAACTTCTCGTCCGACTCGTTTGACCGACGAAGCGGACGCTCATGTCGGGGTCGAAACTTGAATTGATGTAGCGGACGGGTTTTTAGAAACTTAGATATAGATATCTTGTGCTGTTGGTGACAAGTTGTGATTGTTTGGTTTTTATGATTCTTTTCTTGTGCAGCAGATGAATAACATTTTCTTTTGGCATGTTAGGACATAGGATTGTCCCATGATCAGTTTAATCAGTTCTTTGTTCATTCCAACAATTTCTGTGGTGAGAGACCAGATCTCTTGCTGTTGATTTTTTAAGATTCTTTTTATCGTTCATCATTTTGCCAGATTGGCTCTCCTGGTACATGTGTTTATGAGATGTAATACTTGAGTTTGGTCACACATAGCTCTCATGTTTATTATATTCATTGCACATCATTAGGCATCTTTCATCAACAATACATTTGTTCTGAGGTGAAAAATATAAAAACAATAAAAACGATAGATCAGAGAGAGCAGACGACAGATTTGAATGAAAGGACAGATGAAGGTGGAGACAAAGAAGATTAAAGCCTGTCCTTGAGCATGAGAGCAAGGAGAGAGGCCATGTTGCTTGCACATGTTGTGGATGGAGACAGAAGATCATTGTCGTCTCTTTGAGAACATGAGTGAAGAGGAAATAAAGTAAGCACATCACGATCGTGCCTTTGTCATTATTGCTTTGTCATTATAGCTTGTGACGCTTCCGATTCTATAATAGCATCCTTTGGCTCCTTCTCAAAGTCTTGAATATTCCTCTTCTCTTCTGTTCTTTTCCCTAGAGTAATAATCTTTGTGCCCTTGATTTCGATGATCTTTCAGATGCTTCTTAGACTGATTATCTATCTCGTTTTCAAATATTCAAGAACCTTTTTATTCGACGCGTAGATTACGAAAAACCTTGATTCATGCAACATTTCGTTCTCTCGGTTTCACCTGATGTACCGCCTTTATGCGGTAACCTCCGCACACCGTGCACTGCCATTATTATCTGTTGCCCTGTTTTTCAATCACCATCATCCGCCCCTTCGCTAACAAGAAGAAGGACGGACGTCAAATTATGTCCTCCACGATGTCCATAATGAGGGGGAACATAACTTCGAGATACAAAAGCTAGCGTTGGAACATATGCTGACCTAAATTAACTTAGAAGGGAAAAACATAGGGTGTATTTGCTTTTTGTTTTTTAGTTCTTTTCGATTGAGGGCATCCATTGATTAGTAGTATTTTGGGGCCATAATTAGCAAGACATTCCCTCCGTTTTAATTAGAATTTTTCATTAGTACGTGACGTGGACTGCACCAATTGAAAATGGGTGTAGCTGCTCGACTTGTTCTTGTCGAGCCGATTAACGGTGTGTTCGTTTGAGTGAAAGAATTTTTCGCAAATTAGTTTTTTGGACTTTCACGCTCTTGAATGATTGGTCGGTTAAAGAAATTATCCATGCTTAAAGTTAGGAAAATGAAATTTCCCTAGCCTAAAAATGAAAAAAAGATTTTCTTTATCGTGCAGTTTTTTCCCGAAACAATTACGCCCTAAGATTACAAATTAACTTATGTGGGTGATGCTCGAGCTTCACGTGCCATCGTGAGCATATTTCTTCGTAATTTTTAGGTGCCATCCGGTCATTTGGAATGTCAGGAGATATCATAGACCGATTCATAAATTGCGTGGACGGATCAAACCTACCATTATAACGGTCAAAAAACAGCGGAGTACATGTGTTCGAACCGGGACATGCATTTGATGATGTACAGACATGGTGGACAGTGTCATTCGTCATCTTGTTTTGTGGAAAAATAACTATATACACAAAAAAAAAAAAAAAATTAATACACGAAAACCCTAAACATCACCATCAATTTACCCAAAACTTTTTTTGACCAAAAAACCCAACTGTCACCTGAACAATTTTACCCCAAACTATTTTTTTGACCATCAAAAAGCCACACTAAAGACACCGATAATTTTACTTGTGAACTAATTTTGTGACAACCAAAAACCTCAAACCGGTACACTTGTGACAAGTTTACCTTCCGTTAATTTCCGTTGAATTTTACTATCAAAATTCTAAGTTTGATGACACGTGATAGTTAACGGGTGTACCAGTTTGAGGTTTTACCCCTCTGTTTGTCACAAGTTTACCAATTTGTGATTTTTCGTGATATTAATCCAATTTAACGGACACTAACGGAGGGTAAATTTGTCACAAATGTACCGGCTTTCTATTTTAAATAAATAAATGTATTTATTTTCTATAATTGTCAAATGGAACCAATCAGTTTTTGGTGTCAATAATTAGTTCGGGTAAAATTGTCCACATGGAACCAATGGAACCAATCCTTAAAAAATAGTTGATAAAGGATCAAGAGGGTTAGGGTTTTTGGTGGTCAAAAATTAATTTTAAAATTTCAAAAAATTTAAAAAGTAAAAACAAATAATCAACATTTTTTTTATCAACACATCACGGGGCTTTAAGTTACTATCTTGTTACGAAAATGTTTTTTTTTTTTTGGTTGATTTGTTTGGTTTTCGCCTATCCAAGACCCAAAAATGTCAATCGAAAGAAGATTGCATTGCTACTTGTTGAGGGAGTTGTCTCTTGAGATTACTGAGTCTGGAGGAAGGGTTAGCATTGCGCGTCAGCAAGAAGACCAAAAGCAAGATGAAGTAGAGAGGGCGTGAGAGGAGAAGTGGGCGATTCTAGTAGGCCATTGCTACTTGCTGGAGAGTTCTCTCAGCGGTTCACTGCTGAGGTCAATATGAGTACCGAAATCTAGATGTTCATAAGTCAAAATATCCTCCAAATGAGTGAAATAATGGGGGTGTTTATAGGAAGAAGATTAAAAAAAAAAAGTTCGGTTTACAATATTATGTTATGCGGCAATCCCGGTGTAGGGAACTGACGGTAGATAGACATGAGCCAATCATGGGCTACTTACTGCGTGTCAGGAGACATGGACATTAAACTCACTAGAAAGGGTTAGCGAATAGTTCTGGCTATGCTTGATGAGACTTTCTTCGAACCCACTAAGTCAAAACTCTCTAAAACATCCCAAACAGATAAAAATAAGTTAAGACCCTACCACCTATCCCAAGTCACTCTTGCATGAAGCAATGTTTGCGTGAAATAAACCTACAACATGTCGCTAATGATGATATTTTTTCGTACATTTATGGAATAATATAGACGGACAATATATTTGTTTCTCACAAAATGTTGAAAGGACAAATTTATACAGTTGCACGACTACAGTTGCCGCCGCGATCAGTTTATACTCGCCTCGTGTCGAGTAGCAATCAATCTAACTCCCTCTTAAATTCACGTGTATTTGGCCATCAATATAACTTATTTTGTTGGTCTTTGTGGTATGATGACTCGTTAACTTTCACTAAACTTCATGAAAAAAATTCATTCATTATCATGTAATAGGTGCTAATGTTATTCCATTTCATCCCATCACTAAAAAGGCATTCGGTATCTCTTATCAAGAGAATAAAAAAGTTCATGCTTCGTGAATTTCACGTCAAATTTTATCTTTGCCCAACTTTTCTCGAAAGCTAGAGAAAAAAGGGTGATTATTATATGGGTCTTCACAAAATAGGGGGATTAAGGAAATTAAGCATGGGATTTGCACCCTAATCATCTTCATGGAATTGATTCTTGCATGCATTAGATTTCAATTGGGCAAAACGAAGCCATCAAAAGGTTAATCGGGCAGTTGATTAGTGGACCGTCCGGTGGTTATACCTAAAGATTCAACGAGAAGGGAAAAAGACCTTTTTTTTAATCCTAAGGTTCCTTTCATTAATTAATTAATTGATTAATTTATTTATTTATCGATATTGCAGAAGAGAAAAGACATATTATTGGCTGTTAATGTTAGGTAACCCGACCAATCATTTGGTCACTTTCCATGAAAGAGAAAGAGGCTTGGCAATTAATGGAATCACGAAGCAATACATAATTCAGAATTTTTTTTTATTAATTTTGGGGGCTTTATAAGAAGGTGTCTTTGACGAAATATACAGAGTTGACCCATATACCTGTTCTTAATGATATTTTTTAATTTAACTTTTATTGATTTTTTTTATTGATTTTACAAAGTCTAAATTATAATAATCAATTCAGCCACAGCCATGCGTAGTGCCAACAAGATATCATCAGCAATTTGATCGAATCTCTCTTGCAGAGACACAGCCAAATCACCTACTTCCTCATCAATATATATATATATATACCAAAAAAAGAAGAAAAGGATAAAAAAATATTGAATTGCATAAATATGGTCACAAACCCTCTCAGACTTATTTGCTTTCTATTCAAAATGATGGGACCATTTTTATAAATATTCTTAAATAAACTCTATGGATTGGCTTAGTGATTAAGCAGCCAATTAGTATGTGCGCACGACACAAATTCGATTTTACATATTGTTACACGTGGTGAATTCTGCATTTGAGCCATTCATCAGGGTTTCAGCTCGCGTCTTTACTTGTTCTGGAAAATTAGTAAAATTTTCTCGAGTTTTCAAATTTATTGTTCGAAAGAAAAATTTTCGTCACAAAGAAAATCCCCAAACATAAGCGATCATCCCTTTGCAAAATTTTTTTTTTTAATGTGAAGGGCTAACTTGCAACTACCATAGAAATATGGACCCGTTCTTCATCATTCCACACACCTAAAACAACATACGAAACACTATTGTTCTAATACTCACTCTATTAGTTTTACATTTCTCGCCGTCCCTGTTTTGACCGCATAGTGAAGTGCATGCTAATCAGAAGCTCGGTTGAATCTCGAAAGATAATTGCTTATTTACCTTATGTACTCTTGAATGGCAGGATTTATGCCCAAGATTAGTGCTTGCACGCCTTGGACGATCTTCATCCATCGTTTTCTATCGATGATTCTCGGAATTTTGGCGATTAATATGTTTAGATTGGTATGCGAACAAAAACAAATAAATGCCTGTGAAAGTTATTTGAGTTGTGTGAACGAGAGGGGAGGGAGGAAGAAGACCAAAATGAGAGACAGAGAGAAGACCCTCCTTTTTCTTTTCTTTTTTTCTCCCTTTTTTTCTTACTTTCCAAGGTGGTGCCACATAAGCATTCACATTGGGAAAACTTTTCCACATCATACACCGGTAACCTCCGACGCCCACCTCAGCTGAATTTGGTCAAATTCGGCCTCGGACATACTCAATTGGAAATTTGCGCAAATAGAAGGACTCGATTATTCAAATTAGAGGCCCGCGCGGTGACTCAATCAGAAAAAAGCACGGAATCAGAGCCACGAAAACCGAAGCTTTGCCAAAGGAAAACAAGTAGGGAATAGGATTCCAAATGACTCCAAAGTATATGGTACATCTAATGTATCCACTTCACATCCCAAGATACTATTCTATTTGCTACTTAGAAACGTTCCTTTCCAAACAAACAAATAAATAAATTACATTAAATTAAATTAAATCAAATCAAAAAAACCTCCTCCACCGACCGACGTGCCCAAGTCTAACCAAAAAACCAAACCCCCCCCCAAAAAAAATAAAAAGAACAGAGAAAATCCAAAGCCACTAGATTTAAGAGCCACGTCACCCAATTTCCATATAATCAATTAATTTGAATTTTTACAAAATTTTTTTTAATTGGAATATTTTCTGGGCCACCGGGGAAAGAAAAAACCAGGAAAAATCCCAGTGGGGGGCAGGTCGGTCATTTCGGGCAGCGCCCGAGACTGGCTCAATCATCATGGTCCGAACGGGGAGCGCTCTTTTGAAGCAACGCAAGTGACTGTTCTTCTTGTCTTCTTCCCTCGGAGGAAAAAAAGCAGGATCAAGACACCGCCTTTCGTCGTCCTCGGGCAACCTCTCCGCACCTCACTGTTGAAACCAATCTCGCCGCCGAGATTTCTCCCCCCGGCGGCTCCTCCTCCGTTCTCTTTGTTCCTCCGGGGGTCCGTGAATCCGATCCCCGTTTCGAAAAGAGCGAGCGTGGCTTTGCGTTCTTGCGCTCCGGATTCGAGCTTCTTGCGGGCTGCTGAAATCTGGGTTCGGGCTGCTTCGTGGGCACGCGGGGCGTCGGCTGAATCTGGTTCGGATTCTGGGTTCGGCTCCTCCTGGGACGGGAGGGGAAGATGTCCCAGCGGGGTTACAAGCTGCGTATCCTTTTTTGTGCAGTGTTTTGGAGCTGCCTTTTCTTGTTTTGGTGTTCCGTTCTTCTTTGTCGAGCTTCGAGGTTGTGGTCGATGCCTGGTGTTCCTACGCGGGTGCCGTGGTGTTGGGTTTTGGGTGCTGGATAGATCTATGGGTGCGTTTTAGTTCGTGGGCAAGTCGCCGTAGTTCGATGCGCTGTTGTAATTGCTCGGAATGCGATTTGATTTCGAAGTGGCCGATGGAGTAAGTCTCTCTTTGGGTGGTTAGAAAATAGAAAGATGGCTTTTTCTTTTTCTTTTTTGGCGGTCAGAAAATTCATGGAGGTTAGGATGTTTTCTGGAATTCTTTTGACGAGCAGGATTTGTTTGTAGTGCTATTTACTGGGGGAGCTGGAAGGAAATATGTAACTAAAAAGATTCATCAATGCCGGGAGATTTGTGTTAAGAGTAGTTCTTATCCTCTCGAAGGTTGCTATAGTCCTCGTTAGGAAATTAGGAGTCGCTTGTTTCTAAATCTGATGGCCCTGGTGATAGTCTTGATATGCTTTTCCTATGCGATTTTCGGTTTTTGGTTTTTGTGTGGCGGATAAAGGGATGGATCGCTTGTTGGGTGGATTTGTTTCCTTTGACTCAGATTTTGTGCAGAGGAATTTGTGGCCCATTCGTCGAATGTCAACTGTCTCAGTATCGGAAAGAAGGTATGCCGGCTTTTTCTCACGGGTGGAGATGACTTCAAAGTCAATCTATGGGCCATTGGCAAACCGAATTCCTTAATGGTTAGTTGAGTTAGCATTTTATCTTGCCTTTCCTTTTTCTCCTAGTTGATGTGCTGCTATATCAATTCTTTGGGCTATTCTAATTCATCTCTCCACTATAGTGCAAATTTAAAAGGTTACTTCTTAAGTAACTAGTTCTGTGGTTACTTGTAAACAAACGTCTTTAGGCAGAACAAGCGCCAATGCTCACTCTTTATTGCAGTCATGTTCTTCTGTGTAATTGTAGTTCAAGCGAATTATCGCGAAAACTGAAAACTAATTTGATTAACTAAAATTTGGAAGAGAGCGAATTTAGTGGTGGCAACATTTGCTTGTAAGAATGATTAATAATGTTTTTATGCCCAACAATGCAGAGCCTCTGCGGTCATATAAGTCCTGTAGAATCTGTAGCCTTTAATTCTGCAGAAGTGTTGGTGCTTGCTGGAGCTTCTTCTGGTGTCATTAAGCTGTGGGACTTGGAAGAAGCAAAGAGTAAGTTGATTAAATTTTTCAATAGTCGAGCATTCGAGTTATCACTTGCTTGAATAAGAAACCTAGATATGTACCCACTTGATCACAAGCGAGAGTCCATTGCATATATGGCAGCGTCATTTTTGTTTGTTAGTATAATTCAATTCACTTTTAATTACTCTTGAAGCGTAGTGGTCCGTGGTCTTACTGGACACAGATCCAATTGCACTGCTATGGAATTCCATCCATTTGGAGAATTCTTTGCATCTGGTTCCACCGACACAAATCTAAAGATCTGGGATATCAGGAAGAAAGGATGTATACACACGTACAAGGGTCATACTCGAGGAATTAGCACCATCAGATTCAGTCCTGATGGTCGCTGGGTTGTTTCAGGGGGATGTGATAACGTTGTGAAGGTAAATTGGTTACCCTGTGAGGCACAGCCTTTGGCAAGATTGCTTAAGTCCTTTGTTGAGTAAAGCATTTGACTGTTCATGCAGGTGTGGGATCTAACTGCTGGAAAGCTTTTACATGATTTTAAGTTCCATGAAAATCATATCCGATCTATAGATTTCCATCCCTTGGAGTTCCTTCTTGCTACAGGTAATTGTTGCTTTGAGATTTGTTGAATGCATTAATGGCATTAAAATATTACTTTTGGTTCTGACATTATTTAAGGATAATTTGTTTAACATGATGATGGAAAAGCTAGAGTACAATATTTAGGATTACGTAAAAAGTGCCCTTAGGGGGACTTGATACCAAGTATGTATAATGCTTTTGGCATTATGTTTTTGTTATGACCTACTAGAAAAGTGTGTTTCAAATTTGATGTACTTTCATGTGCATTAAAAAAATTGTAGGAACAGTTTTAGGTACTTATTGAGTTGCCTTACCGCACTTGTTAACAAGACCTAATAATTTTTCGGTAAAGCATGATATCTGGACTTAAATTTGTGGCTTCTTGTGATAGAAGCTCCTGAAATACTCAATATCTCCTGAATATATTTAATACCATCTGCATATGACCTTTGGATGAGTAAACCTTTAATTGCATATGTCAATCCAACAAACTATTATGACTCACCACCAATCCTCTTTGACTGTTCACTAGTATCTTTCTTATGTGTGAAATCCAGTTTATTTCATTTGCATTCTCCTTGTTTCTTCCTTCTTACAAGCTGGACAGTGTAAATTTTCCTTTGGATTTGTCCATACTTCTAATTTCTGGTAATCTAATACAGATTCCTTGTCCAGGTTCGGCAGATAGAACGGTTAAATTCTGGGATTTGGAAACATTTGAACTAATTGGATCTTCCAGACCTGAGGTATCTAATGGCTATGTTTCTTGGAATTAACAATCATTTCAATTTATTTTTCTACTTCCTGCTTTTAGGGTCAGAGTATTTCGTAACAATAAGTTGCAAATTGTCCTGTGTCATATATGTGAAAATTTACATGGAATTTTTCCTCATGATTGATGTGCTTGTGTTTAAACTGAACCCTCTGGAATCTCTCATCTTTTATAATGATCCTAGGCTCCTGAACATTGCTGGTTTTCCTTACTTCATGACTGAATTTAATTGTTTGTTTCAGGCCACAGGAGTACGTGCAATTGCCTTCCATCCTGATGGGAGGACGTTGTTCTGTGGTTTGGAGGATAGCTTAAAGGTCTGAAATGTCCTACTCATGGATTTTTAACACGTGTTGGAAGATACTGGCATGTGATTTCTTGCTTGGTAAATGTAGGTTTACTCATGGGAACCTGTAATCTGCCATGATGCTGTTGACATGGGATGGTCAGCCCTTGCTGATCTCTGTATTCACGACGGAAAACTCTTGGGTTGCTCATACTACCAAAATTCTGTTGGTGTTTGGGTAGCAGATGTATCGGTAGTCACTAGTCACCTTCATCTTTCCTACACTAGAATTCCACTACCCTTTTTTCCTGTGAAGATGGCTGTTCCTATACAAGTTCAATAGTTCAGATGGATTTTTCTCTTATGATGCTACATCCTCTTTTCAGCTTATTGAGCCTTATGGAGCTAATTTAAATCCTCAGCAGAAGGATTGTGGGGATAATGAAATTGAACACCAAGAAAGTCGTTCCTCAGCTAAAGTAGGGACTACCATAAGATCAACTTCAATCATACGCTGTGCCTCTCCGGATTATGACACCAAAGAGATAAAGAATATATATGTGGACAGTAAGTTGGTTTTTGTGTACTTTTATCATACTGTCAAATTCATATACCATGACACATGATCCTTTGCAAAGTAGTGGAAGCTTGATGGCCTATACTACTCAGTGGAATGTAGATATACGGTGCATATCTGATGAGGGTCAGGAAGAAGATGGTAGCTACATATCAAAAGTAGTTTGAAATTTTGAGCGTCTATCACAATAGTATCGAGTGTGATTGGGTTCACCATCGAGTACCTTGGGCAAAGTGGAGGATTATCATTTTTTTTCTCTTGTTCTAATCTATTGTCAGCCACATATGTTTGCATACAGAAGGTTTTCCTTAGCAAGTTACTTTCTAGTTGTCGGAGTTCAAAAAAAGAAGTTTGACTTTGAATAAGAGACAGATTGTAACTTGTGTAAAGGATAAGTATTCCTTGAACTTGGGTTTTTTTTTGTCTGTTCCTCTTGAGTATACAAAGCTCTGAGAGTCTGACTTTACAAAGCTGCATCTTCAATTATTGATGCTCCCATTTTTTTCTGGAAGCACTTCTTGCTGAGAGTTTCTTTATGCCAAAGACCTGAATCCTCATCCTGGAAGACAGAAGGTTGCTGGCTATAGTGGCATCATTTCTCGCCCATGATTTCAAGTCTTCTTCCTGCACAAAGCACTAACTCCGTTAGGGTGTTTAGTTTCCCACTTGGTTGATGGCTCTTTGATGAGATGTGAGCTGATTTAGGTCCCGGATCATTTAAGAGTAATTTTAACGCGATACGAGTATAAGACATATTACTTTCCCCACCTTTACAGGTGGAGCTTCTTTTAGAATATTCGTGTAGTGCATGTATTGTTTCTGAACTCTGGTTTACATCCTAAGGTATTTTATTTTGTTATTGATGTGTTGTTCCATCTTCTTTGTGCAGCTGCTAGCGGAAATCCTGTTTCTTCTCAGCGTGTTGGTACCACAAACTCTGCGAAAGTGATTCAACCGATGGATTTTAGTGACACCCCTAATGTGACACTACAGAGGCAGGGTTCCGTAACAGAAACGCCAGATAGATTAAATGGGCATGTTCCTAGTAAATCTTATACTGTACCGAAAGTTGTTAGTAGGGACAGTCCCGATGGAAAAGACTCATCTCGAAGAGAATCTATTACTTTTTCAAGGACTAAACCGGGCATGTTGCTCAGGCCTGCTCATTCAAGGAGGCCATCGAGCACCAAATATGATGTTGACAGGTTATCAGCTTGTGCTGAAAGTGGAGAGCTTAGCAGTGCAAAAAGTAATTCCGAAAGTCTTGTAGATTCATTTTCGAAGATCAAAGTTGCACCTGAAGATGGAGCAAGAGATGGCTGTGAAGACAATCATTCGACTATCAAGAATGTCTCTGCGGAAACTGAAAAGGTGCTACCACTGCAGACACCTAAAACAGAAAAGTGTAAGCAATTTTTCTTGAATATTGATGGTTCATTGGTTCATCTCCACAACTCTGCATAACAATATTTTTTGCGGTACTTTTTACCTGATGAGTGACTAATGGGGAAATTGTTACCATGGTGTTTTCCATACTTTTGAGTCCTCTTCATTTTCTCTGAAGAATTTTAAGCAAATCATTGCTATGACAGTTTCTGCAGTTCAACAAAAATCTCGATTTTGCAATGCTGGTAACTATTGCTCAGAGACCATGGTTGTTCATGTCGTTGCTAATGTAGTTCTTATGTCCACTGATTTTACATTGGAGAGAGAAGTATGAAAGCATATCTAGAAATTAGTCAATGCATAATTGTCATTGGTAAAGATACAGCAGTTGCTTCTTTTGAAAGTATTTATGCCACAGTTGAATAGTTTTGTCGGAGACTCAGATGCCATTTTGTGAACTAGATCGGAAAATCTGCTGACATGGATTTGTTATTGTGTTCAAGGTGACCAAACTGTCGGTTTCAAAGAAGGAATCAGCTCTGTCAAGTTTGTCAATGGAGGTTAGCTGCTGCTTGCCAATTAGATTTAACTCCTAGTAACTATTGAATAAAACTGACCTTTTGCCCCTCAAACTTGGTTTTGGCAGTTGCAGTTGTGCCAGGCAGGACGCGCACTTTAGTTGAGAAGTTTGAAAAAAGAGAAAAATTGAACAGCACTGAAGATCAACCAATCAATGCGCCTCCTGAAAAACCCGCATTGGATAAAACCCCTCCCTCTCTGGTAGAAAATGTGGAAAAGAGTGACAGATTAAACATCAATGAACAAAAGGCAACAAGTATGTCTTCTCATATGGTAATCACTGAGGATAGAACACCTGTAACTCTTGTTCGCAGTATTGAAGATCAGTCAACTGTAATGGCTCCTCAAAGAGAATTATCAGCTGATGAATCAACTAAAACTCCTCCATTGCCGGTTGAGGATTTTGAAATTCATCATGGATTAAATGTTAGTGAAGATAAGGCAACTAGTTTGTCTTCTCAGACAGTATCAGGGGAGGATAGCAAACGCTCTACTCTTATTCGCAATTTCCGCGGAAGAGGCAGATTTAAAAATTCTGAAGTTCGATCCCCCGTGATGGCTCCTCAAAGAAAACTACCAACAGATGAATCAAGCAAAACTTCTGCTTTGCCGATTGAGGATTTGGGAATCAAAGGTGGATTGAATGTGAGTCAAGATAAGGCAACTAGTTTCTCTTCTCGTGCATCACCAGGGGAGGATAGAGCACCCTCCGCTCTTGTTCGCAATGTTCGAAAAAGAGACAAATTTAGAAGTACTGATGATACAACCACTGTAATGGTTCATCAAAGAGGTCTATCGACAGATGAATCATCAATTGTTTCAGTTGAGAGGGTTGAAAGGAGACAATTATCTAACAATGTAGAGAACCTGCTAAATAATGTGCCCCCTCACTCTATACCTCCAATGACAACGGTACAACTTCAACCCTTTTAAAATGGTTTAGGTGGCTAGCATCGAGTTCATGATAGTGCATTTTGTTTCCTGGGTTGTTTATCATTTTTTTCAACTTACAGATAGGGGAACCTCAATCTATGGGAAGGGACTCAGACTCTGTTGACCATGAGGATGTCACTGAAGTTCTACTGGGAAATCATGAAGTTCTCTTAAGTACTCTCCGTTCTCGCTTGACAAAACTACAGGTAATTTAGCTGTTTTTGAATGTTTACATAGTTGAGTAAGACTAATTTGTATATTGCATGTCACTGTATGCTTTCGTTTTGTATGTTGGCTTCCTTGAGCATTAGCTATTCATCTGATGACTAGTTTTTTATTTACCGCCACAATCGTACGGCTTGTTGGGTAGGGTTAGGTCTGCTAATAAGGGTTGCAATTATGTTAGCACCGTTGCTAATACTTAGAAGACATAGTATTAGTTGAAGGTATAGCAGCTGCAGCAAAGAGTGACGACTTAATGCTTCTAAATTCTAATGCGTAAATCTAATCACTGAATGGACAGTTCAGAAGCCATAGAAAAGAGCATCTTTGACTGAGAATTTGTTACTTTGTTATCTGCACTTCTACTTGGTTGTTGCCTTGACAATTTTCTCTTGTATTTCCAGGTAGTCCGGCATTTCTTTGAAAAGAAAGATATGAAAGGTGCTATTAACGCATTGAGGAGGTTGCCAGATAATTCTGTGGGTGTCATCATTTGCATGTTTATCTTAAGATCCCTGATATATGAATGATAATTTCCTTTATTTTTCTGAGACACGTGATTGTGATTCTGGTGCAGGTGCAAGCAGATGTAATCAGCATTCTTATGGAAAAGATGGAGATGCTGAACTTAGATTTATTTTCTTGCTTGCTTCCCGTGCTTGTGGGTTTACTGGATAGCAAGGTAGAAAGGTAATGTGGTTATATATATATGCTGGTCAGATTAGTTATGTTGCTAGAGATAGTTATCTGTTTGAAATGGTATTTTTACCGTCTACCGTACAATGGATATTATGAATGCTCATAGTATCTATAAAGGAGTAATGACATAATTCTGGAGCATTAGTTATTGTATTTTCAGAACTTAGCACGAATTCGTCATTCTCATGTGTATTTAACCTTTGATACTTTAACTGGTTTACTTGCTGAAGGTTTCAAGATGCAATGATTTCTTGATTTGTTCTTTTATATTACACTCTAGCACTGAAAATTCTTTTTTTATCACTTAAAAGAAATGGTTGATTCCTAGTCCTTTCAATCGGCAGTATCACTGAAATCCTCGATGTAGATTATGTACATTTTTTCAGTGATAGCGAATCTCTGGATTTGGTGGCTATTCATTCCTCTAACCGATTTGACCTTTTCGAATTTTATAGGCACACGTGTGTGTCTCTGGAGATGCTACTGAAGTTTGTAGCAGTTTTTGGTTCAGTGGTTCGCTCAACAGTTTCTGCACCTCCGACTATTGGTGTTGATCTACATGCTGAGCAAAGGTTTTCTTCGTTGGACTTGGGCACTTCCTATCTCTCATTTGGCTGTGTTCTTGGTGCTGGGTACTTACAGATTTGAATACTTGATCTCAGGCTAGAGTGCTGCAACCAGTGTTTTGCAGAGCTGCAAAAGATCCAAAAAATTCTCCCTATACTTGTGAGGTAGGCATGTTGGGAGTTGTTGATGGAAATTTATATTATCCCTTTTAACTTGGAAAATGTGTAACCATTGTTTCATAAATATCAGGACCATCTTTTGTTTCTACAGTATTTTATGGTGTCTTATCTTTGGAGTTTGGTCAATGAATTTATGAGCAGTGTTGCCTCAGATTATATGCCTAACACTTTGTTATGATGACGGGATCTTGGTATGGCAATGTCAGCACAACACCATGTCCAGATACCTGAAAATGGTTATTGAGAGACTTGTCAACCATGTGTGACCAACTCAAATCTGTGAGCAATCAGTAGTTTGAACTTCGAAATTAAAAGTTACACCTTAATGGGAGCGTTTTAGTTATGACGCACCCACATGAACGGTGTGAATCTAGTATTCTGAGGTGAAAGCGGAATGTTGCCAGATGAATTTGATTTGCTTTTCTTTTCCTTTTTTGATCCTTTATGATTGAAACTAGGGAATGGCGTTTGCTCATTCATTGATTCCCATGTGGACTTAGGACGTAAACTTCTCTGTTGCTTCTATTGCAGGAGAGGTGGCTTAATTGCAAGAAGTGCTCAGGAATTGAATCTAGTCCTTCAACAATGCTAATGGACCATACCAACTGCATCCCTTTTCTGCTTACCTGCAAAGTCCAGTTTGGATGACATCTAACAGAATACTCGTGTATATGGACGCCATCTTTCCTTAACTCGGAGTTTGGCTTTACGACTACTGATTTTGCCACTTCAGTCGGTCAGTGTTGCTTGGTTTCTCATGAGGCAAATACCGGAGCACTACGTGCATGGAAATTAAGCTCGAAGACTCGAGGTCTTCTTCGGGGCATGACTCCATGATATTCTGAAAGAGTAGGATCTCTCAATTCTTTGATTCTGTAGTAATGTGTATCTTTTGTATCTTCTATTGCCACCCCGTGTAATTCATGTGCACTTCGCTGGTATAGTGAAAATCCACTTTGTTTATCATAACTGAAAGAGCTTGTCTTCTGTGCATCTTAGCTGTTAGAATTTCACTGTAAAATGAAGGTGCAATTGTATTGTCACGAGCAAGCCTCCATTAAAGATCAGATTGTCTTAGCTTACCCAGTCATTACAAGAATCGCTTTGATCCTTGACACATTGGGTCCATTGCTAAAGGATTTATGGAAAAGTGAGTTGAAAGAAGGTGGTGAGCCCCAGGGATTTGAGTGTCTCTAGCTTATTAAAAAATAGTTTCCAGTGAGAATGAGCCTAAAAAGTTTAGTGTTTCTGAGAATGAGCCTAAAAAGTGTAGTGTTTCTGAGAATGAGCATAGCAGAGATACATGGCGAGGCTGATGCTGCAATTTCACTTTGCCTTATTGAATGTAACTTTCAGAAATTTACGGTGGAGATTAGAGTCTACAGGACCACCCCCAAATCCGATGACACGGGCTGGTGCACGCTACCGGAACCCGAAGATTAAACCCCTTCTACTGGTGCACACAGCCTGGGCCACGTGCCTCCTTGTTGACTAAACCATTCTCTTGGATAAAATTGGCTGTTCAATGTCCAATTACTACACTCTTCGTGAACCTGAGGATGACAAACCCCCAAATGATTAATGCCAAACGTTTTCTACCATTCGAAGATCACAATGCCAAGTTTGATGAAAGGTTTTCACTTATTTTTTATCTAATGTTTAAAAATAAGTTAAAATGGAGGTGTGGTCGAGTTGATTGGATCAACCCGCCAATGCGTTATCGCTGCAGATTCGCGGAAACTATTCGTATTACAAACCTGAGAACACCAGGGAAAATAAAACAAATGAATAACTGATTAAGATTGCCCAGAATGAATGTTATATATGGATGATTAACATGAATTGCAAGAGTGATATTGGCATTCTGTATTTACACAGAAGCTGACAATGGAGGCCATCCATTCCAGAGTAGCAAAATTCCAAAAATAAACAATACAAAAATTTATCCTTCTTTATCATCCATAAAATAGAATCCCTCTAATTCTTTCTTGTTAATCTGATGACAGATTCCCAAAATAGAAAGCTGAATTTAACAAACTTTAGCCATAGAACACCCATAACTTATCCTCCATGAAAGGAAAAACTAGAAAAAGGTAAAAAAAAAAAAAACCCAAAATCACATAGCTCACATAACCTTCATCTCTCTCTCTCTCTCTCTCTCTCTCTCCAAAGAAAAGAAAATTTTTTGTCTTGTGAGGAAGGCTTTGTCAAACCTTTTTTTTTTTGAGGCTCGAGGTTTTTAATTAGGCGGGTCCGGAGTTGGACAGGTCTCGAATGATCTTCGCACAATGATTGTACGCATTCGTTTGATCGCCAATTTGAAGGAAATAGGCGGGTTCCGTCGTTTGAACGCCAACCGGGGCCGGGGCGAATAGGATTTGGAGAAAAGGGAAGTAGGGGATATTCCGTCGCGGAGCGTGCACGTTGGCGTCGAAGACAATGGAGATAGGGATGTGGAGCACGTGGGACGAGCTCTTGCTCGGAGGCGCCGTGCTCCGGCATGGGACTGGAGATTGGGACCGGGTCGCGATGGAGCTTCGAGCCCGGATCGCTTGGCCGTGTGAAATCACCCCTAAGGTCAAAACTACATCCTCTCTTCCCTTAGCTCCTATGATAACGTATATGTTACATGTGATATCTGTGCTTTTTAGGGTTTACCAAACTCATGATGTTCCCTGGGAATTCTCGCTCTCTTTAATTTCCTCTTAGGTTGTAATTTGCCATGTCATTTTGGCTTGTGTTGCACCAATAAGGAAGATAAGAAATTTAAAGAAAAGATAGAATTTGATTTCTATTTTCGAGAGCACGTATTAATGCTCATGCAAGAAGAAACCATTTAAAAAGGAAATGCTATATTCCTTATTTGGTTCTTTCCTGTTTGGGTTGTATTTCCCTTTTTGTCACTGTTAATTGAATATATGTTGAATTAGTGTGAATTTTTCGACCAAAAAAAAAATTAGTATGAATTTCTTAATAAAAATTTAGGGCACTTAACATTACTCTTTCAATATACTCCAAGGAAATTATGACAAGTGGACCGGATTTTTGACTTGTTGCCAAAATTTGGGAAGAAGGCGCGTAGTTGATGTGAAGCTACTTGCTCATCTCCTGTTTTATTTTGTAATTTTTGTGCATTAAGTATTCAATAAAATCTAGAATTTTTTTAAATCTTTTGCAATTTGAAGTTGACGCCTCTTTGGGACTTGCCGTTCTTCGCTTTCACGAGCATGTCGATTTAATTATTTCAATAGGAAATTAGATTTGCCCATAATCTTTCAACTGTTACACATTATTGTTCTGAACATTCATTTTGTTGCAAATGCTAACCCTCAATTGTTATTTCCGTTATGATGTACAATTTACATGATTTTTTAGGAGTAAAGGTGTATTTTTATCTTATTTTTTGGAAGAGAATTTTCTTTCTCCTTAATTGTGTGAAAAATGAAAAAAAAAAACAAATGGAGAAAATAAGTTAACTGAAATATTGGCAGTGGAGAACAACAATATTGAAATATAAAGAATTGTTAAAAATTTGATGAATATAATTTTAAATCTCAATAAGATATTTTAAGAAAAAGAAACATAATTAATTAATTACAAGGGAAAAAGATCAAATTCCAAAAATTGGAGATTCATTAAATATTTTTCAATGGTTAATTAATTGAAAAATGATCGATCCATAAAAGTATTAAAAAATCACTTTAGATTTCGTTAATCATTTTATTTGTTGGATTGAGAACATCATTTCTCTTTATATTTTTATAAAAATATGTTTATTAAAAAATATTTTTCTACATTAATCAATCATTTAAAAGTACGCAATGAGTAACTAATTGTCTTCATCTGAACTTTTTGTTATTGAGCCTTTTTTTGTGATTACTTAATTTGTGTCTACTCTTTTTCTTAAAATCTCCTATTTAGTTCTATTAAAGTGGATATATTCACCAAACCTTAAAAAATTCTTTTCGTCTAATATCATTTTCGATATTTACTTTTCTAATTATTGGCATTTTAATCAATTTATTTTTCCTTTAAAATTAGATAAGAATACACTTTTACAACTTAAAATTCATGCATTGCACATACCAACGGGAAAAATTTAGAGGGTTAACAGTTATAACACAATAAAAGTTCAAGGGTGCTGTGTAATAGTTGTAAAGTATGAGGTCAAACATGTACTACTTTTGTACAATTTCCCCTTATTTCACTTATTTTATTTCATCTCTCACTTAAATTTTTCTAACGTGTTGACCACCATGATGATTTAGCAAATTTGAATTTTTTTAAAAAAGATCCAAATAAGCATGTGTACTTTTCTTTTTGCTCTTCGTATATAGTATTGTATATCTATTGCGTTACAAGAACAACAAGAGTTATAGCAAATGCAAAAACCTAGATCAATTAATAGACTCAACAAATCTTAATGACTTACGTAAACACGTTATAAAGATTAGAAAAGCAGATACTTACGTCATAACACTTAGATAAAGGCGTAGATTCAATAACCCATAGGTGCATTATTCATCCTTCTACTTGTGCAAAAGGTTCATCATCTTCTGCAAAATTATCGATGCAATTGCTAATGATATGTTAAATGTAAATTCGACGTTATAATGCAGGTTTGCAAAGCCAAGTATGAGGACCTGCAACGGCGATTCTCAGGGCGCACGTAAGTAGAACTCTTTTCTTTCTCGAAGGATGTCGCCATTTATCCTTGTTTCTGCAATCTTAAGCGGCGAACGGTAGTGATGGTTATGTAAGACCTAAATGGCATTTTGATTGATTGGAGTGAGAGACATTTGCTTGTCTGTGAGCCTTTCATGGATTACTAAAAGTAGTAGCATTGTAATGCTTCGAGCCTTCACAAGCTGGGGACCAAGCTCATTGCCATTATGGTTTCTCTTTGATCGTGGACTCATGCTTTTCATTGTTTCTATTTTAGAGCTTGGTTCGAAGAATTACGAGAACAGCGAATGGCGGAGTTGAGGCGAGCCTTAGAGCAATCCGAAAGCTCTATTGGGTCAGCAATCTGATCTTTTTGTTTTATCTTGTCTTCCATGTCGCTTTATAGACTTGCTTGTCCTTCTGCATCCATTTCTTTTGAAGGGAAATTAAGGACATGGAATGTGTAAGAACCGCTATCACACGAAGATCTGTTGAATTCTAGATTGAGGTGGAGGTTACATCAATATATGAATTAAACTCGGCCCGCTTTGCTTTTGCAAGAAGCCTGTGATTTCAACTATCTAAATTATGTAGACATCGATACTTGCCCTTTGACACCGGAAGAGTCATTTTTAAGTGAGAAATAGAATCGATGTGTGGCGAGTTGGACAACATTATGTGTCTGTCATTCTGTTGTTCTTTGATTATGGACTCATGCTTTTCTCTGTCAGGACTCTGGAATCGAAGCTCGAATTTCTCAAGGCAGAGGGCGAACCTTATTCCAACGCCGATTATGACTCCAGCCGGACAGTATCGGTTGTACCAGTTCAGAACTCATATGGAGCGAAATCATATCGAAGACAGGCACTGGAAGGTGCACTCTCAGATAGCTTCACTCAAGAAGTCTCTACTAGCTCCTCAGATGGTCGTGTTCAACTTTCAGTTGAGACGGAGACTAAGCCGGGTATTTCCAAGTCGTCTAAGCGAGACAAGGATCGCAAGGTCAATATGAAGCTCCAAGAGCTATGCAGGGGTCAAAGAGGTTTCCTTACGAAGAAGAGAGGTCTGAGAAAAAGGAAGAATTGTGTTGTGCAAATTAAAGAAGGGAGTGTAGGAGAAAGCGAATTCATGGGCCCGGCTGATGTTTTGACGGATTCTCAGAGTCGTAAAGGTCGGAGGAAGCAGACTGTCAATGATCTGATGAGGATCTTCGACTCTGTCGTGGAGCACAAGAGCGCCAGCATATTCTATCGTCGACTTAATTGCCAGGTAAAGTTTAGATTCGATGCATAATTCGAAGCCAGCTCTTATCAATGTTCGCCTGCAATCCTACTTCTGAATTCTGATTATCCCATCAAGTTTACATACCGCTATTAATGCAACTGTGTGTGCAACTTCTCTATGATTTGTCTGATACGCATGTTATCGCTAGGAACTCTAGGACTAGTCATGTGATGCAGTAAGAATAATAAAAACACGCGTCTGACTCCGACATGTTTTGTTGTATTTATTTGTCACAGAAGAGAGGAAGATACAAGAGATTGATCCGCCAACACATGGATTTTCACACCATAAGATCAAGAATATCGAGCCTCGCCGTAACATCTTCCACAGAAGTGTTCCGAGATCTTTTGCTCCTCGTAAACAACTCGTTGGTCTTCTATTCCAGAAGGACAAGGGAGCACAAGTCCGCATTGCTCCTGAGAGACATTGTCACCCAAAAACTGAGGCAACACTATAAAGGGTCCGACTTCGTCCACGCTGACGCTCCGGTCAGGCCTCGAAGCGCCATTCGTCGCATGGCGCCCACGTTGCCCCCCAGGGCTTCGAATGCCAATAGCATGGTTTGGACAGCATCATTGGGAAGCAAGAGCGCAGGCAACTCCGACTCCTCCCCGTCGGCGGAATCTTCGGCTATTGGCAAGAGAAGTTCGATCTCGAATTGGCGGCGGAAACGTAGAATTACAAATGATGGCCCAAGATCTGTGAGGTCTACTAGGGGAAGAAAGAGAGTTAGGACAAGGTGAACAAGTGCATGGTTTTTTTCTTCAGAAGGATGGACCTGGATGCAAATACTTTGTAGGTTTAGGGTCTTTTTGTAGTACAGGCATCCAGTCTCTTCTGTCTCCTGTTATTTTTGTGGGTTCCTAATCCTATAGGGACTATAGGCTTTGTTGTTACTGTTGTTGTACATTCACACAAGTCTTACTTGTAAAAGCAGAACTCCATTGTTTCGTATTTAAACATAGTGTTTTTTTTTTCACATGTAACTTTAATAAATGCTGGTAAGTTAAAAAGAAAAAGAAAAAGAAAAAAAGACTTCGATAATTTATCAATACTTTTATGATATTACCAACTTATTTTTTTAGTTTGCAGATTATCAATTTCCTATTCACTAATTCAATTTTATTTGCGTAACTTGTTTCGAATTAATTAGTTCTTATATGAAATTATTGACCCAAATTAGAGTAATTTATCACCATTTGTCGGATTAAACTATCAACTATTGTTTGGTAATCAACTGTCATTTTAATAACTTACCAACGTTTAATTATTTTTTTTCTTTCTTAATTTACGAACTTTTCTATTGAGTTAACAACTTTTACTTAACTTGGTTAACAACTCCATACATTTACTCACACTATTACTAAGCTAAATTGATGTGATTTGCGAAGTTTTATCCCAATAAATTACCACTTGGTATTTAATTACCAACTCTCATTTGAGAAAAAAATTGATAATCACTCTAATTGAGGTTGATAACTTCTTAAAAGAGTTGGTAAATTTACAAGTTGATAAGCAAGGCAAATAAAAGATGGTAATTTAATGAATAGTAGGTAAATTTGGGAAAGAAATAAATAAATGACCGTAAATAATTCAAATGAGAATTGGTAAATTGAAACCAGTTGATAACTTAATGAGATCCGGTCATACAAATAGAAGTTGGCAAGTTCATATAAGAGCTTATTAGTTTAAGGCGTTTGTGAGAAAAATAAATAAAAGTTGGTAAATAATAACAAAAATTAAAAATTTAAAAAAGAAACCTAAAAAATGTTGGTAAATAGAACAAATGAAAGTTGGTAACTTAATTGTAGTTAGTGACTTAATCGAAAGAGTTGATAAGTCCTCATAAAAACCTGGTGAAGTAAGTTTATGACATTGGTAAAAAAAGGGAATAAGAGTTTATAAGAGATACGAAAAGCTAATAATTTATAAAATTGCCAAAAATTGTTTGTAATTTCATAATAGTACCGGTAAGTTACTAACAAGTTATCGAGAAATCAGGTAATCGGTAACTTCTTCTTTTTGGCCACTTACAAACCCTTTAAAACATCTATGATCTGTCAATGTGATGAAAATTTATTCCAAGTTCTCTGTACAATCTCAAGCTCTCTACCTTGCAATTTGGTTGCAGAGGCCATAAGAATTTCCATATCTTGAGACCCACGGCAGTCAAAAGAAGGCTTTTGCATGCTTGGACTTTAAATATTTAAATACTTCACGATGACGTCGTTTTGATTAGATGTTCCATTTGTTCCCCAAAAATTTAAATATCCGGGTTGTGGGATCACACGCATGGCCATATTAGGGGTAAGAGAACCGCATCCCATGCCCACGGGTGATGTGCGACTAGACCCTCTCGATTCGTGCATGTTATGCTAAAATCCATCTTTTTTCTCCAATTGAGAGTCTCTAAAAATCCGCCCGGATGATTTGAGTTGTTCTAATAACAAAGGAAAAGCAATTGACAGAAACATGTAACTGAGTGTGGGACATATAGATTGATAAAACATAACAAGGATGTCATATAACCTTCTTTTGTACATCTTCCATAAACAAGAAAAAAGAAAAGAGAGAAAAAAAAAAAGACTGTTGAATTAATAAAAGAAAATCAGGATGCTTTTTCAGGCCCATCACACTTGGGCTGCTTGTAAAATGTGAATAACATCATTATCAGCTTGTGGACAGAATTTTTTTCCGGTTGGGCTCAGCCCAGTATTCCATGAGTTTCAACGAATTGCAAAAGTTAACTACGAAAAAATAAAAAAAATTACAAAAAAAACCCAAGGAAATTACGAATTGATCTGGAAAGATACTCATAAAAAGATGAAAAAAATTCCAAATAAGGATCTGAAGTGTCCTCATTTTCTTAAATAAGAGTTTAGAATAAATCTTGTGTTAAATAAAGACTTGAAGTAGCCATGGCAGTCTTAAATAAAGGCCTAAAGTGGTTATGATAGTTTCAAATAAGAGCTTGACCTCGTTGGTCGCCGAGCCTTCGCTAGCCGATGGCGAGGGCTTGGCAACCCTCGCAGGCCGGTTGCTGGGGTGAGGGTCGCCTCGCGCAGGCGAGGTTGTTCCTTGCTAGTGGCCGGTGGGGGTGGCCCTTGCCCAGCCCTATCCAGGCTTCGCCGATGGCCAGCCCAACAATTGGCCACTGGCGCAGAAGAAAGAAAAAACCGGAAAAAAGGAAGAAAAGGGAAAAAGGGAAAAATGGAAAAAATTCAAAAAAATTAAATGACGAAAATGTTCTTGACCATCTAAAAAGTCAAGTCGTTCTTTAAAACTAACATAATCACTTCATACCCTTATTTGAAATAAGGTCCACTTCAAACCCTTTTTTGAGAAAATGATGACGTTTTAGATCTTTATTTGGAATTTTTCCAAAAAAGATGTCACTATTTTAACCTTTTATTGGAAGGAAAGAGGAGTTTTCACCTAATACTATAGAGTTACGATGTTACCTAAAATTTGGGTCAAAATGGTTTGAAATTTCGTTAACCTAATCAAGTGCTCTTCACAGCCAAAATACTCTCGTCACATTCTTGTAATCATATTAACGAAAAGAAAGAAATTCCTGTTATAAATGGAGATAAGAATTTGCGAAAAAGAGAGTTGTGTAATTTTATGAATAGTACGCGAGCTATTTATAGGATTTAGAAGAGAACCATTTAAATTTAAGAGATATTATGATATCAATTATAATTTATCGGGATTCTAATAGATGGAATGAAATTCATATATTTTGTAAAAGAAAAAAAAATAAAGAAATCATTATAGAAAGAAACAGAAGGTCGCTTCAATATCAATTTTCTTGGGTTTAACGTTTAATGCGTTCCCCACCAGGCAACAATAACTTTTTTTGGACCAAACACTCCATTTAACAACCCACGAAAGTCTGTTGAAGCATCGTGGTCACATTCGAAAGATGCAACCACAATTTGTCATTTATTTTTGCGTTAAAGCAAATTAAATTTAAGGCTAAGTTTGTTTCGCAGAAAATAAATAATATTAAAAATATATTATTAAAAATAATCCCTCATATTGCTTAAAATAATTAGTCGATGAAAAATATTTTCATTACCGACAACAATTTATGTCTAAATTTTTTTGTGGATAAAGAAAATATTTTTCTTTCATTTATTTTCGTAAGCGATACCAACGAATATTTTGAGGAAATTATTTTTCAAATCATTCGTTTTTCGCGAAACAAGTACACACTAACACGGCAAATCACAAAAGGACAATGACACTAATTGACTCCGAACTTTAAATAAACGTGTCATGTCATCTTTAGACTTTTTATTTCTTCAATATGGTCCTTCAACTATTCCCAAATGTTCGATGCGGTCCTTTTGTTTGACCAAACAAGAAAGACAACCTCTACAAGCCTCTAAACTAGAGCGAAATAAAAAAATAAAAAAAAAAACGACTCGGGCTAAAGTTTCTCCCCTATTTGATAAAAACACAAGGAATACATTGAATATTTAGGAAAAATTAAATGATCAAAGTCTAAGGATAATATTGTACATCGGGTCAAAATTAAGGACTACTAGCGTCGTTTTTCCAATCACGAATTAGACATTTGATGGAAAATATAAAAAAGAGAAAAAAAGCTTGCAAACCCTTTACAAGACTGATTGAGAATGCAATAAGCTGGGCCGTCACTTGGATATATTCAGCTTCGAAAGCGATTGCTTGACGATGACATGTTATTCACGCCTATGTCCCAATCAAAGTCTAACAAAAACCTTGGGGTCACCAATCATTAAATTTTTTATTCCTTCTAAGTTCATATCCATTTGACGTGGAATTCACAAGATCAATCGCAATCTCCTTTTGGCGTTTCAATTTTGCTTCATTTTTATTTCGTTTTTCCCCCCCTCGAGTGGACATTGAGATTGGAATAATGATGCCATGACCACGACAATTAGGGGACCGTTAACCCTAATATTCTAGAATAGATCAACGACCAACTTCATAACGTATCATATGATCTAAATCGAAAACTTGTAGCTAAAGCCTCTCGTGAACCCATTAAAGAATAATCAAAGAAGGGATCCCTTAGAAAGTCATTAAGTTGAACATGGTTAGGTCGAACATCATGTCGCGCCGGTCGATTCTCGTGGACATATACGAAGCGAGAGGAATACTCGAAGCTTTTTATGAAACATGAACTCATCGAGCGTGTATGGGACTCCGTACTTATGCAATGGCTTGTTTATCTAAAAGGGGAGTCAAAACCCAGTTCGATAGCCGGGTTATCTGCACTTGGTGGCATGAGAAATCAAATCTTAATCTACAGAAAAGAGAGCGCATCATTAGCCATCAGTTCAGCCCCTGATTGATTCGTCCTTCGATTCGCCCCTCGATACACTTTATGAGAATGAAAAATCAGTAAGTGTTAGCGAGATCTGAACGTCATTGTGTCCTGAGAATCCATCGGATGCGGAAATTTCAACAGATCAGTCACAAGAAGTCAATGGCTCGTGCACTAACTTATTAAGAGTAGGACAACTTCTAAACTACTCTATGACCTTCCCCAGCTAAACCAAAAGAGAAAAAAATTGTTAAGAGAGGAAGAGAGGCAAGAAGAACGTCCCCAGTTGATACCTTTGTCACAGCACTAGATTACAATCATAGAGCAAGTGAGGATTGGTTTGGCGGGGCCCCAGTTGCCATCACCTGAGCAAATTGATACAACATTAAGCACAACTTGTGCATGGTCAACATTTTTCACATTTTCCTTTGGGTTAGGGCCAATCCCTACTTATCTTGCTTTTCGGGCACTAAACATGATATTTTAAATAATTATAGTACAGACCATCGATAATTACTTTTGACAAGCGGCATTATCCATCATTGATTTGATTTATATAAAAAAAAAGTTAGGTTATTGAAACCCCTCGAATCAAGGGTGGATAAGATCGCCGGCATAAGTGGGTAATTAAGTATCAATTTAAGAGATTAATGAGAAAT